TTTTAGACAAAGATTAAAAATTATTCAGTTTTTTTGTGTTGCCAAAAGTATGGCAACTAAGGTTCAGTGTACGTTTGACCTTGAAACGGTGAAACGACGTTTGACCGACGTTGTTCACCTATTTATTAGGGCTAAATGAGGGTTATAAACCAGTGTGGGGTTTCATCACGAATTGACATCAGCTAAAATGCCAAAACGCCATTTCGCCAAATAGATGTGTATTCTGATTGGGATTACCAATTGTAGCGTGGCGTCGAGTTGAGATTAACTATGAACACCGCTACAAAGAAACGTGCCAGATAAATCGAAAGGCGTAAGAAGCTCTCTCCAAATGACTCCATAAAATCCCCGAGAAGCCAAATATCAGAAGACAGTTAATGGACCAAGTCGAGGTTTATTTGCTGGCGATTTCGTGGCATCGAAAGGATACCGAGATCGTGCCAGGATACAATCGTGGTTACAGAAGGTAATCGAATTCGCGCGAAGTTACAATCAAAGTGTAAGTAAAAGAATGGAAGCAAAAAATAGCTGTCATTAGCACAGTCAAACAAAAGCACATTAAAACAAACACTGGTACAGTTGGTTATAATAATAATTGTTTTTATTAAACCAGTCGTGTTCTCGTGATAAACGTGAGTCACTACAGATGAATGAATCTCATGCCAAAGCCCAGAACTCGTTATCTTATATGTAATTGGTTCATCCATAAATTTTAGTCACTGGCCTTCGAAACTATTTAAGCAACTGAAAGAGAAAATAATGATAAACAGTCATCAGGAATTCTAAATACAAATATCTTCAGTGAAAAAGATTTCTCATCTCCGCATTAGTACAATATAGATTAGTTGGATTAAGGTGAGCTCCGCAAGTATCTAAATGAATGTTGTAATTAATCGTAAGAGCTTTTTTTTGTAAATTAATTATATTATTGACAATAAGGTGAAGTAGCAACCATAAGTTTAGGGGAAAAGATAAACTACATTTAGAGAAAGTAGGTAGTGAAAATATGCAAAACGACAGGAATATTCAGTATCACGTCTATTTGACGCTTATGAAAAAATATTTCCTTTTTATTTGTGTACATCATAAGAACATACAATTTCTCTACACTTTTGTCCTACAGTTAATATTCAACTGTTTGGAATGGCTATTGAATGAGGGATGGTATTTTATGAAAATGGTCGGAAGTTTCAAGAAAAGTGTTATGACGGGAATTGATAATATGGAAAACTTCTATGACGAACAATGTGTAAAAATTGATTATTTGTTCATAGAACCAATCCTCAAACAGATCCCATAATATACCATTATTGACTAACTAACGAAATATATTATAAAATCAGTTATCATGAAAAACTATTCAACTAGGACTGGGTTAACATATCAGCCTATGAAATCATTAATTATTTGTTTGGACTATGTAGGTAGGTGCAGATTGAATGGTTGGGATCTGCATGATAACCACTATTCGTGGATGGAGAATTAAGGTGACATTGGCTTGAAGTCATTCACAATGATGCAGATTTACCTACTCTTTATCTTCCTCTCGACGTTGACTCCTAGTTTTATTTCATACAAACCCTTTCACTGTCTTTTTAAATCAAGTTCCCAAAGTTAGTTTTTTTTCTCATTACTGCTACATAATTTATATCTCTTTTGTTACTTTCATATTTCTGTGCTAATCGGATAAGGAAGCTTGACCCAGGCTGTATGTTGCTGGTGGGTATCTGAGTTGTTTTGTAGATAATAAATAATCACAAAACATTTAATCAAGCTTCATTTCTGTCTATTTTATGGAAAACTTCTCAAGTTCAGTGAGTTCATTTTTACTGAAGATGCTAAATAGATTTTTTTACGACTTTTAACGTTTATCTTAATGATTTAATTCAGTGGATCAAAAGAACAGTCAATAATTTTCAAGTAAACTTGTATACGATTGAAAACTATCCCTTCTGTTAATTATAAACACCTTATCATTTTGAATGATAGCTTGTTCATCATTGTCAAATACTACCATTACCAAGTTCTATATAGTTACTAAATTTTTGAGTCATTGAGGTATTTCAAAGCGTTAATAGTTTACGTAATGACTTAAAACAAAACTGATTTGTTAAAGTAATGACTTAAACTAAGTACTGATCATCGATACTAGTATCCTATTGACTACAACTGGGGAATAACTGCTATCTGTTATTTACAGAAAATTAAGGAAACTGTTTTGTTGATGCTGTGAAGAAAATGAGACTGTAATTGAAAACTGATTTATTCACCAAGTGCTAATTAGATTATATTTACAACAATCATAATAAATTACACATTGTAGCGTGGCATCGAGTTGAGGTTAACTATGAACACCGCTACAAAGAAACACGTGCCAAATGAATCAGAAGGCGAGGGTTGGACGTAACCAAATAAATCCATAAAATCCCCGAGAAGCCAAATATCAGAAGGCAATTAATGGACCAAGTGGATGTTTATTTGCTGGCGATTTCGTGGCATCGAAAGGATACCGAGACCGTGCCAGGATACAAGCTTGGTTACAGAACGTAACCGAATCCGCGCGAAGTTACAATCAAAGTGTAAGTAAAAGAATGGAAGCAAAAAATAGCTGTCATTAGCACAGTCAAACAAAAGCATATTAAAACAAACACTGGTACAGTTGGTTATAATAATAATTGTTTTTATTAAACCAGTCGTGTTCTCGTGATAAACGTGAGTCACTACAACATAATCTTAAATGATTGGTCAATCAACAAGTTTGAATGAATTGAGCTAGCAGTTATTCAGTAATTTCATGTGTCTGTATATAGTTTGTCAAATCAGTAAACTGAATGGGAAATTCAATTCATCACTAAATGATATATTTGTTTTCTTAATCACATAATGTACAAACTATTAATTTCCAGAGCTAATCCGTACGTATTACAAATGTCACGATTGAACCAGAACTGAAGATAAAGAGCAAAGTGAATTCACTCGAATGTTTTGTATATTGAAATTGAAATTACGTGCTTGACTGCATAGAAAACAATTATTATTCTATACAAATACCATAGTTACACACTTTTTCCCCCTCAGTAATTTAGATTTTAAGTACATGCACTTCATTTATATCCCATGAAACATAACCTTAGATCCTCAATCTTTTCTCTAAAACCTTAACCATAATCAAGAATAATGTGTTGACTGCTAAAAGTCTAATTTCAACCTTATAAAATTTTGAGGAAACAGATAATTTATATCCATTCGGCCGAATCTATTTGTTGTTGTTTTCTCGATTTACAAACGGGATCAATTGTAGGAAACTTCAATAGATCTATTAAGTAGATAAGATCTGTTTACACTTTTTAATATTATTGTTTTCTTTCCCATATGCCATTCACTGACAAAGGTTCCTTTCTGATTGACAAAGAACTGGCTAAACATTTATCATACTTGCTTTAACCTTATCCCTATGGTGGTCAAATTAAGCTTTAGGAACGAATCAGTCAGAATCAAGAATCAAGTATACGACTTCTAGAATTCTAAGCGAAATTCAAATGTTACTTACTACGAGTAATAGAAGAAATACTTTTGTTTGATGTTCAAAACGTTTAAAGTGATAGAAACAGATTACTTCTTATCACCATAGAACTAAAAGGATAATACGATGGTAACAAATGTTCAATTTTGTTTCTGGCATGGTGACAACATCTTTAAATCCTAACCGTAAACCTGTCACTCTGAAACAAACATTCGTCTGGTTTGATTATATTTCATGTAAGAATCGGCTAGCGCCTCTTGCATTTTTGCATGCAATTCATTCATACACTTTTGTATTGTAGCTAGTGTCAACTCGTAATGAAAACTTTAATCTTAATCAAGAATATCATGGAGACTCTTCAAAATCAATTTTTTCATCCTTATAAGATCTCAAGAAGGCGGATGATCTCTATCCACAGAGGATGCATTTCTGTGTGTAGATGTCTTCCATTTACAGACAGTACAGTAGAAAATTTACAACAAACCCATTAAATTTGTAAAATCTATTTGTTTTGTAATATTATTGTTTTGTTGGAGCGAAATTCATTTAACCATTTGGTTTGATAGCGTCTTGGCATTTTAGTTGATATCAGTTCGTGATGAAAACCTCAAATCTAGTTCCTAACCCTAACCATCAACTATAAATTATAATCCTTATTCTTTAAACTGTTTTATATTATAGAAATTGATTTGATCGGTTATAGATATTGGTTTCTACTCTAATTTATGGACGACCTTTGAACGAATCTTGAGTAACCTTGAGAAATATTAGCTAATCAGTAAACAGTCAGTATGGAGTAAAAATATATGATACAAAACCAAGGAAATAAAGTGGATACACTTTTTAGACGTGGTTCAAAAATTTGTCAAGGTTAGAAAGAGGTTCAGAGGTTCTAAAATCATAATGCATGCAGTATAGGAAATCATCCATACGACTACAGAATAGTCGGCCTCTGGAGCCATGACAAAGTGTCAAAAACTCTTTCAGCCTCGACCACATAGCTTCAATATTGTTTATGTGCATTCCGGTTGTTGAGTGCACAAAATGCTACTTGTGGATAACGACATGATACATATAACCAAGCCTATGTAGGAGTCTGTACGCTCTCCAAGCATCTATGTATATTGTAGTACCTGGCTGCAGCAAGTGTTACTGGTGCTTTTATTATCCAGTTCTCAATAATTGTCGTAATTTGCCATAGTTAGTAATTATGTCAGAAATTTATTTAGCCAGATGGATGAAAGGCATTCGCGTTAAAATCCGAGATCTATTATCTTATACCTGATTGACTCGTCCACAAATTATAGTCCCGCTGTTTTATTTGTTATAGCCGCTCAATTATCACGTTTTGTACAAAATTCCCTGTGAAGCGATCGCACGTTAGCATTAAGCAGTGGCGTCGGCACCGTAACCTTGAAATCTCTAAAACACCTCTGATTGGCTCGTTCATAAATTAGAGTCTCGCTAGAAGTTCAACTAAACAATTTCATATTTCACTTTTATTTTCCTCGTTCAATAATTAAACAGCAAAATTTGAAAATAATTAAAAATCATGATAATGAGCAAAACATCAGCAAAACTTTGTTTAAAAAGCATAAACATACATAATATTTGAACAATTTGAAAATCATGAAATTATTTGTTCTTAATTAAAATTTATATCGGAGGGGGTTTTATGGAGGTTGTAGTAATTTCAACAGTTGAGATCATGAGTCAATTGAAGTTAGACCACCATGGAAAATCTGGAAGCAGTGGACGGCCATTTCGTCCTATTGTAGGACTCTTCAGCAGTGCGCATCCAGTGCCCCCAGGTTTTCCATGATGGTCTAGCTTCAATGGACTCATGATATCAACTGTTGAAATTTATGTTTTTTTTCTTGAGAAAAAAAGTTTTCCCCTGGATACTATCAACGACAAAAAATAAGATCTTATCTAGATGAAAAGAAAAATGAATAAATTTGCAAACGCGTAAATAATCATAAAAATGTCAGAAACAAAATGAACAAAACAGTTGAAATGCACATGATTTCATATGTAAAAGTACATTGAAACAAAAGGAAAATGAACAATTGTATGTATGGATATGCATGAGTACGTATGTGCATGTGGGTTCGTGCAAGAGGAGGTTAATTAAACTTGTGAATAATAAAATGAAAGAATTCGATAGCATAGTTTACTAAATGTTTTGCACATAAGAAGGGTAAAAGATTAAAGGACATAGAGATTTATCATTCAATAAAGAATAGAATGTTATGTAAGTGTGAAGAAATTAGAAATGATAAACCTAAATATTTTTATGCTTTATAATAGCAAAATAAAAGAAGCATTTATCATTAGTAATATTATTACATCAATCAATATTGTATAATGAAGCGTTTATTAATTCTTTAATAAAAGTCATGTCCGCCATAGAGATTTCAATATAAATAAGCATAGAAAAGAAATGATCACGTTTACACTTTTCATGTATGAAAAAAAATATATATATATAATGTATATACATCATAACCATGTTGTAATCATTGAAATAACTCAATATCTTAATATAAATCTGGACATTTACTCCAATCTCTTTTCCAATAATCACCGGTCATTCGCCATTCTTCTTGTTTAGTAAATGGATTCACTGATGGAATAAACCATAATGGACTAATAATTTGATTGTAACTGTTATTAAAACTTATATCCGATGTAGTAGTAGTAGTAGTACAAGAATTACATGAATTCTTATCATTGTCATTGTCATCAGCTAATGTAGAACGATGCCAAGTTGAATTTGATGAAAATGCTTTTTTAAATGGATTATTTGTAAAAAATTGTTTAGCTGTATTATTCACTGTAGCGCTATTCATATCTGTAAGATTTAACTGTTTACCAGTCGACTTATGATTAGTTGATATTGGCCAATTGAAATTAGAGATTTTTCGTTGACCATTTAATGATTTACGCTTATAACGTTGTTTCTCTTCTAAACGTAATTTTTCACTAGCTGCTTTGTCTGAAAGAAAAAATATACATAAAAGAATCAATGGAATTTAAAGGGAAGGACAAGAGAAAATAATGTAGTGCATTTATTTTATTTATTTATATAAACACATAAACATTGATGCAATGAAACACCAAATATATATGTGTCTTACTTCGTCATCCGATTTGTGTGAAGGCTGGAATACTGTCCAGGTGCCCAAACTGAACCAGGTGGTTTTATTAGTAGGCTACTTTCCGAGCCTTTAACCTAAATATCTAGTCCATAGGCCGATGGAGCAACTTTAGGAGTTGCAGTCTCATGGTCGCGGGTGACCAACAATAGGTTCAAATGTCTTTAGTTCCTTCAGGACAGTGGAGCCCATGTGCACTATTGGTTTGGAGTCAGGGTTTTCCAACTCCCCTAGGGAAATCCTCCATATCCACCATCCCGGTTAAAGTGCCGGACATTCGCTTTTCATCCTCTCAATTTAGTAAACAACACCCGTGGTGTGGGGTAATGGGTAGGACGTCCCTGGTAATTGCTGTATACGTGTGGCCATGAGAAGGCATCTCAATAGCAAGAGCAAACTCCCCCCCCAACCTCGGGCGTACCAAGCTATTTGGGGCATAGTATGAGATCGAGCCAAGCAAATTCAAGAAAATAATTCTTAGGTTTTTAAATAAGCATAAAAAATGAGTAACTTTTTTTCGATAGTGCTCAGATTGTTTAGAAGTGCTAGAAAAAATTCTCTTTGACATTATAGAATTAAATATTAAATGTACCAATTGCTTGCTTTTTCACGGAGAGATTTTAAATCACACATGAATCGACCAAATGTTGCTAAAAATTCACTTTATTTGCAGTAAAACTCGGAGACTAATCATTTTACTAATGATTCATGGGATAATAAGTGAGCTAGTGAAGTAGGAATGTTAAAACAGACAACAGTTTTTACATAGGATGTATTCATATAGATAAGGTGGCAGATATGTTTCTCGCACGGTTTCACCTTAGTAAGCCTTCAGAGAATTCGATGCAGATCTCATAGCTGATGAACTTTTTACAGAGCTATTTTTGTGACTCAGACAGATAAATATATATTCAAACTCGAACCAGCCTTGTTATACAGAGACATTCCTACAGAATTAAGATGGGAAAAAATGGTAAAAACCCTTGTGAAACCAATGCACTTCTTAAAACCCTTAAACTCTAGCAGTTTTTAATTTCACCTATCAGGAATTACTTTAGATTTATACAGACTCACCGATTATTAATTAAAATGTGGCTTCAAAATCACATCGTCATTCTAAGAATCATTTAAGCTTAACTTCACACTACAACCACTGAGAAATAGAAAACACGAGGAGGGTGCTTCGTCCTAGTATAAGATTCCTGGAAATTGTGCGTCCATGACCACACTGGGAATCGAACTACGAACCTTTAGATTTCGTGGTGAGTTTTTAACCTGAATAAGACCAAGCCGTGATACAAACTATGAAATATAACGATCACTAAAAATCTCAGAGTCCAAGTGAGCGACAGCAACCAGTACACTTCAACCATTTGGGGAGTGAAACAAACATCATCAACGGCATTGGCTAGTGGTGGAGGGATATCGCGAATCGATTGAGGTTACACATGTAAACAATGGGACGTCGTGCTCAGTGATGTAAAGGTTAAGTGCTGATCATGAGATGTGAATGTCCTGGGTTTAATCCTCAGTGGGGCTGTGGATGTGCATTATCGAGGAGTGCCATATATAACTTTACCTGGTAAATCTTTAGCCGTCTTATAGTTTGTACTGATGGTGGGATCCAAAGGGGTTAGTCCAAGATGTTTCTAGTTTCCATGACTTCTAGTTAACTATGGATGAGTCGAATAGCCAAATATCCTGTTGATTTGACTGCTAACAGAGTTCGATAAACAAACAATTTGTTCAGTCTAAGCAACATTAATAATAGGGATCACACAATTTTATATGCGTGTCATGTTCACTAGAAATTATCATTAGTGACTTGATTGGAAATGAATTCACAAATTTCTGTTCCGAATTCATAACAAGTAGTGTCAACAAAGTTAAATATGAGCTAAATGTTAACCAGTGATCTTAAATAGCTATCCGGATAAGATTTAAAAATCTTGAGTGCGATATTCACTCAGACTAATGGCCACAATGCAAATCGAAGACCAGCTTAATACACATTAGTTACTACTCAGTGGTCAATCAACATACACCTAAATTCTAATGGAGGTCAGTTACGGTTTGAAAAGCTCTATAGTGACTCACGTGCAATTGAGTTTAGTTCAGTCAAGGCCTTTTGTTGACCTATTTAATGGACAAAGTCATCCATGATATAACAACTTGTTGTACTATCTTTATTATTATGCCTGTATGAAATACATATGCTTGAACATTGTTTAGCGCCTACGCATGTATTCATTCTGCTAGCTTCATTATTAACTGCTTAGTCTATTCGCTGACTCATCCATTTTCCTATACATATATATATGTGTACATTTGCACCCATTCACTACAACTACTACTACTACTACTACAACTACTTGCTACTGCTACAATCGTAGTTCGCTTGCTCATTCATTTTGCCTCTCTGCTGTCTGGTCCGAATTATCTACTAAATAAACTGTAGTAGCTGCTTCTTTTTGCCTTCTGATTTCAAACATCGTTGAAGATTATACGATAACGGTTCGAGGGTGATTAATTATCGAAGCACAGCCACTACAGAATTGGTAATCCCGACGTGAGAACGGAAGCAAATTTTGGTGAAATAATCAAATCCCAAAAATCCGATTCTTTTCATCTCAATTTGGATTATCAAATGAACTATAATTACAACTGTGGATTTATATTATTATTTTAATTACACTTACATTATTTCGCAAACATTATTAAACGTGACAATTATAATCATAATAAATAACAATTATCCATAAACAATTGATATATTGGTGCAATTTAGTAAGTCTGTTCCATTTTATAAATTGTGCCATTTTTTTATTATCATTGTTTTTGCCCATCTATTCTTCCTTGTGACTGTTAAGTTATTTTCGTGTGCTACCTAATTTTTATAAGCATGTCTTATGAAAACACAGTTTCAAGCATACAGCAAGCCTCGTCCGTGAGGTCTCTTAACCTCCCTGCACCTTCTTTTAAAATCACAGACCCAAAACTTTGGTTTATAAGACTTGAAAATTATTTTCTCGCTAACCGCATTCTTTTGCAAAAGGATAAGTTCGGCCTGACAAGCACACTACTCCCAGACGAAGTAGCTGACAGCGTTCGAGAGGCACTAGCAAAACCAGACACAGAAAAACCATACGACGTGCTAAAAGAGGCAGTAATTAAAGCTCTCTCTCTCAGTGACCAACAAGCCGTCGAACAACTTCTTAACCAAGTACAAATTGGAGATAGAACCCCATCACAACTAAAAAATTATATGAAAAGTCTACTTGGCGATAGACACATTGACAATAATCTCTTTTATCAGCTGTGGCTCCGCCGACTCCCGGCAAAAATACAGCAGATCCTAGCTGTGGGAGATACGGATGCTGATTTAGACAATATAGCAAAGATAGCCGATAGAATATACGAAAGAAGCAAGCAAGCAAGCCCTCCACTACACAACGTGACGGTAGACGATAGACTTGATACTCTACAGAAGGAAATAAATGTTTTATGCCGCAAACTCACAGAATTAACGCAGAGAGAAAAGCCACGAAGGTCATCGCGAGATCGCTCGCGTGAAAGGACCCGGTCAACTTCTAGACGACGCACAACTCCCGCGATATGTTGGTATCATCAAATGTTCGGCTACAGGGCTAGAAAGTGCCTACAACCTTGTAGATTTAACAGGGCTAGTAACCGATACTCACGAGTATCAATGGCAACGGCATCAACACACATAATGCCTGAAAATAGTCGCCTCTTTTATATACAAGACCGAACCACTGGCGCACAATTCTTAGTTGACACTGGAGCAGAAATTAGCGTAGTACCTCCATTTAACGAGGAAAGAAAAAACATTAATCCGTCATTAGTGCTAAGAGCAGCAAACAAATCAGATATTAAGACATATGGCAAACGGAAATTGTCCCTAGATTTTGGACGTGGTGCTTCATACCGCTGGAACTTTGTCATAGCAGACGTATCGATGCCCATAATAGGCATAGATTTCTTATGTAACTTTGACCTGCTAGTAGACTCTAGACGACACAGACTTATAAACGGCAGTCAAACCACTTCGATAAGAGGAATACTTACGGAAGCCGTTTCAATGAACCTTGTGATAGATAAAAGTCGTGGTGATCCATATAAATTGTTGTTAAGGGAATTCCCTGAACTCGTAAACGTAACATACAATAAAGCGGATCTCAAACATTCTATTCAGCATCACATCGTAACGAATGGTCCACCAATCAATGCAAGACCAAGAAGGTTAGATCCCAAAAGACTAGCAATCGCAAAACAGGAATTCGACAAGCTAATGAGGCTAGGCATTATAAGGCCATCGAGCAGCCCGTGGGCATCCCCGCTACATATGGCCCCGAAAAAGAATGGAGAGGTTAGGCCATGTGGAGATTACAGAGCACTGAACAAACAAACAGTAGCTGACAGATACCCTATACCGCACATCCATGATTTCACCTACAGTATAGAGGGCACTACTATCTTCTCGAAGATCGACTTAGTCAGAGCATACTACCACATCCCTGTTGCCCCACAAGACATACCGAAGACAGCAGTAACAACCCCATTTGGGCTATATGAATTCCTGCGTATGCCTTTTGGACTGACTAACGCGGCACAAACCTTTCAACGGTTTATCGACCAGGTCATTAGAGGTTTACCTGGGGTATACGCGTATATTGACGATTTATTAGTAGCTAGCACCACTAAAGATGAGCATATACAACAACTACGGCAATTATTTATGCGACTCAGAGAACATGGTATTTCTATAAATATTGAGAAATGTGAATTCGGAAAAGAATCTTTACAGTTCCTAGGTCACAATATAACTTCTCAAGGTATCACACCAATAGCAACAGAAGTCGACGCCATTAGGAATTATCCCCTACCCGACTCATGGAGAAAGTTACGCCGATTTCTCGGGTTAATAAATTATTACAGACGATTTATCCCGAATTGCGCGTCAATATTGCAACCACTAACAGATGCATTACGCGGAAACGCACGGACATTCCAATTATCACCAGACGCGATTCAAGCATTCGAGAACGCTAAAAAAGCACTAAATAAAGAAGTGACACTAACTAGACGAAAGAGCGAAACACCGTTAGCTATCATGACGGATGCATCAGACGTAGCGGTAGGAGCCGTTTTACAACAATTAGTAAATGGCATATGGGAACCGCTCTCATTTTTTTCGAAAAGACTGAATCCGACACAAACAAGATATAGTACTTTCGGAAGAGAACTCCTAGCGATTTACTTGGCAATAAAACATTTCCGACATATGATTGAGGGTACCATTTTCACAATATATACAGACCATAAACCCCTCACAAAAGCATTGAACGCCAAACAGGACAACTACTCGCCGAGGGAAATCCGACAATTAGAATTTATTTCCCAATTCACGTCCAACATACAGTATATCAAAGGTAATAGTAACGAAGTAGCAGACGCATTATCCAGAACGATGGTTAACGCTCTCATTCAGTCTGAAATCGATTATCACAAGTTAGCAGCATTACAAAATATTGACGTCGAGTTAAACAGACTAAAGTCTGCCAACACAACCTCGTTAGTTCTCAAAGAAACTCCATTGGAAGAAGTAAGCATCACCTGCGATGTTTCTACAGGTCAACCAAGACCATTTGTTCCAAAGCCGCTAAGGCGAAACATTTTCGAAGCCATGCACAATATTTCGCATCCCGGAATAAAGGCCACCATCAAACTAATCAGCGAACGTTTTGTATGGCCAAGTATGAATCGGGATATTCGTAATTGGACGCAAGCGTGTATAAAATGCCAGAGAGTTAAGATACATCGCCACACCAGTTCCGCAGTAGGTCATTTCCGTCATCCCGATAACAGATTCGAGCACGTACATATCGATATTATAGGACCTCTGCCGGTTTCGAATGGCTTCAGTTACATTTTCACTTGCATTGATAGATTCACACGATGGCCTGTAGCTGTGCCCATAAAAGATATTACAGCCGAAACTATCGCAAAAACCCTAGTAGAGCATTGGATTTCCCATTATGGTGTACCTACTAATATTACAACCGATAGAGGAGCTCAATTCGAGAGCCGCCTCTTCCAACAACTCACAGAACTACTCGGAATCAAACGAATTCGCACAACATCCTACCATCCGATGTCGAATGGTATGGTAGAGAGATTGCATCGGCAACTTAAAGCTTCTCTTACAGCTGTCATCAGCAATAACGATTGGGCCAGCAAGCTACCGTTAGTCATGTTGAGCTTAAGATCAACAATCAAACAAGATATAGAATGCTGCCCAGCAGAATTGGTTTATGGAACCACACTACGTCTGCCAGGAGAGTTTTTCACCGCAAGTAAAAGGGTCCAGACTGATATAGCGGACTATGTACAGCGTCTTAAGCAGCATATGAGTAGTCTAAGGATAACGCTTCCGAGACAACATCAACGCCGTGTGTACATACCCAAACAACTAAGTGACAGTACCCATGTGTTTATAAGAAGGGATAATGTGCAACGTCCCTTACAACCGGCCTACGATGGTCCATTTAAGGTGATTAAAAGAGACGACAAAACTATTACGGTAGACAAAGCTGGAAAAACGGATGTAATTAGCATCGACCGAGTCAAACCAGCTTTCATCGAAGCCTACGATCAGCCAGTACATACAGATACTGCGAAACCCGTTGAATCATCGAAACTTCAGTTCCAATCATCAACGACATCGACGAACACAAACAAAGAGAATCCAGTAACTACAAAGTCTGGTCGAAGAGTAAGATGGCCCCAACGTTATGTCGCTGCAATCTTCTATTAATAATCTTCTACTATTTTAAATATTAATTATAACTTCCACTTCATTGTACACACATGCATTACTAATTTTATGTTTTACGCTATTAAACTCAACATGTCTTATGTACCCCTACACTTAAACGTATAATTTTTATTTAAAATGTAAAGCAATACCGCATTCCTTCTATTTATTGCTATTATTTTTTATAACCTCACGGACGGGCGCAAACGAAATGTACTGCACACGCTAACTTCATCTTAATTTTGTACAAATCATTTTTTTCAAACGATTGTAACTACCCTGCTCAGTTTACTATTTTTTGTGCAAACACAGACATTTTTCCATATATCTTTGTTTGCAGGGGGGAGCTATTATAGTGACTCACGTGCAATTGAGTTTAGTTCAGTCAAGGCCTTTTGTTGACCTATTTAATGGACAAAGTCATCCATGATATAACAACTTGTTGTACTATCTTTATTATTATGCCTGTATGAAATACATATGCTTGAACATTGTTTAGCGCCTACGCATGTATTCATTCTGCTAGCTTCATTATTAACTGCTTAGTCTATTCGCTGACTCATCCATTTTCCTATACATATATATATGTGTACATTTGCACCCATTCACTACAACTACTACTACTACTACTACAACTACTTGCTACTGCTACAATCGTAGTTCGCTTGCTCATTCATTTTGCCTCTCTGCTGTCTGGTCCGAATTATCTACTAAATAAACTGTAGTAGCTGCTTCTTTTTGCCTTCTGATTTCAAACATCGTTGAAGATTATACGATAACGGTTCGAGGGTGATTAATTATCGAAGCACAGCCACTACAGCTCAGCAGTAAGAACTATGACTGCGAAACGGATTAACATGAGATCGGATCCACCAGGGAATATCAGGTCCCTCAAGATTACAGGTACGCCTTGCTGACAAGTAGTGTCAAACAGTAGGAAACCTAGGTTCAAGGTTTCATGTCGACTACCTCTAAACAATGCATGAAATCAGATGGTTAATGAATATGGTGGATTATAGGTAATCAATACGATAACCTATTTGAGACATAGGCTTGAAAAATTTCAATCAAAAACGTTATATACAACAGATGGAATGCAGCCAACAGGGGAATACAGGATGCGTGTTTTAGCCTACTTGAGACCTATTGAATGGATATATTTGAATCATAGAGTTGATGTCCACTCCAGGATTCGGACCCAGTACACTTCTATTTAAACACCCGCTACACATAATCCCTTTAGCTACTGAGTATGGATAGCCACTACTTAAATGCATGCAGCAGCTGCATCCAGCCAACCACTCCCAAATAGGATGAAACGTGCGTCCTAGATCCCATTACTAGCCAGATTCTATTTAATCTATTAAAAACTTGGGATATAACGGCTATATCGAGGCAATCAGCACAGGATGCACATATGCCAGCTAAGATTGGTCAAAATTCAGTCAAAAATATCAGTATATATATTCCACAATGATAATAAGTGGGAATCAATAACAATCATACTCACCAATAAGACCCATTTCAAATAAACGTATATCTGGACGATATCTGGAATCTGTCGGTGGAAGAAACTGTTCATACATTGAATTTTCTTGACATGGAATTACTTCCCTAATGTTATTTGTACAATTCGACATGATCACGCTTGAATTTTTTTGATTATCAGTTATATTATCATTACTCATTGTCGATTTACAGATTGTTAATTCATTTAAACCCATTGTGTACTGTGTGAAATCATAATAGTCCTTTGAATTAATTGGTTTCGGTGTAGCGATCCATAGACAACGTTGCCCAGTTAGTGGTATTTCGAATCCATAATCTACTGATTCAATACACTCAGAGCTGTTGGTCGATTGTCCATCAGCATCATTATTATCGTTGTTATTACTGTTTTTCTTTGGCTGGTTCTGCGTGTGTGTGATTAGTTCCAAAGATAACCGGGAGCACATCAATATATGTATGAAATGATAAGTAAGGAGAATGAAATAAGAACCGACTGATCATTATATACATAATGGTGAAATAGAAAGATTATTATACTGGATAATATAATGTAAATAATAACAGTACAAGGTACTATAACATTCGTATTACGTCATCATGTCTATTAATTGTTTGTATTTCTTCAAGGAACTAATACTTGGAATTTTATATATATAATGCAGGTACATCCAGCTGACGAGTCCCAAATAGGACGAAACGGGCGTCCTGAATTCCACTGCTAGCCACTAACCATCATTGCTTACAAAAAGCTTGTGAATTAATGCAATATCGAGGCATACGCACAGTATGCATATATGCCGATAACAGACTGATCAATTTCAGTCTTAAACCTCAATGGGAAGATACAAGTCAAATAACACCAAGTTAATATATATATATATATATATATATATATATAGATAGATAGATAGATAGATATAGATATAGATAGATAGAGAGATAGCAAAATTTGTGGTCATAATGTTAAATTGGGAATTATGTCTACAAAATAAATTACATGAGTAATTGTATATATGAAATCAAATTTGATTATAGAATGAAATGACAATTATGACAGATATGATCATAGTTGATCAGTGTCTGTTTGTATCCAGTTGATTGTAATTAAAGTTAAGTAGCTCATTTACGAAATACTGTTTTTATGTAGTCAAGTTTGAACAATAGTTGATTATTGATGTGAGGCCTAGTGATATTACATCCATCTATCGAAAACGAAGTTGGTGTAAAGGAGAGTGGGGTTTGAACCTGTGGTCTATTGTTTTTTTTTAAACTATCGAATCCTTTAATGAATAATTAAGTAACTGCTCTACGTAATAACCACTATTAGTAATCCTTCTTGTACTTAAATTTAGTCGAGAGGTAGTATTGTAACCTTATGAAATGTTGGTTTAAAAGAAAAATGAGTAGCACAATACATAGGTATATTTTATTTGTGCAACAATCAACGGAAAGGAAAGTATTCAAACACCTAAAGACATTGGCAACATTTATTTCATTCATTCTTACTCTTATCGGTTAAGCAGACAATTATCTTTCATAATTCGAACCCGTAAATTAGTTTCATCCTTCTATTCTTCTCTAACTCTCTGATTATTATGTAATCTCATTTGATATCTTGAAGTCTCAGATCAGCTGATGATGTAATATTTTCTATCTTTCTATAGATTTATGTATCTATCATACAAATGTAAATATGAATGTACAGCTTAAGTAAATGATTTCGTCGAAAAGAAGATTTTCGTTGAATTCTCTTCAAAATCATATTTTCATTAGATTTATAAATAAGTTCAGAAGTGAAACTATACTACTATGTAGCTGAGTCAATTACAATCAGTAAATTTTAGCATTCTAAGCAAAAATTATATGATATTTATAGTTTTTACAAAGTAGATGAATTATGGCTAGGATTGTGATCCAAGAAGAGAGTTTATTCAGTTGGATTTACCGCGATCCCAGTGTTGATGTTCACACTAGAACTCGATTAAATCTAGTTCTTTCATAAAAGTTATGACCAAACAGCTATATCGAGGCGATCCGCACAGGATGCTCATACACCAATTGAAACCTATTTGAATTCAGTCAAGAATATCAGTAACAAGATAAACCTAAAACTGTAATAATAGTAGCAGTTATTATCATATCACATGAAAAAGCTTTGTCCACAACAAACTGCTATATCGAAATTCAAAACAGTTATAACTGAGGTAAGAAAAACTATTTCCTCCCATCTGTTACAATAGTGAAGAGGGATTCTCCATTTATCATCTGGATCTCAAGTGGCAATACCCCTTCGTACATCCCTAACCATTCTGCTATTTCGAAGCATATTACCAATACTTATCATGTGTAGTTATCATTTTTATGCTAATATGATATGACGGCTTATACCAACGAGATTTTTTCCAGGCTCTACATTGATCATAACCGACTGATTGAAAGCAAATACGTGATGAGTGCATACTGTCAATGCAGATTGAAAATTAATGATTTCTGTTTCTTATTTCTTTTATTCTAAATAAATCAACTGGTTAGTGATTTATTGAATAAGAGGCATTCTGCTTGTATGGAGTTGAAACACGAAGAATTACTACAGGTATTTATGAACATCTATCTACGCAAGATACTCAATGTCCGTTGATCGGATACCATCAGCAACAACCTACTGTGGCAGAGAATAAACGAACTTCCAACTGTAGAGGGAATTAAGAGAAAAACGCCAAAGATGGGTAGATCACGATTTACCGGAATCACCAAACTGCATCACGAGGCAAGCTATAACTTAGAATCTTGAAGACTAAAGGAAAAGAAGCAGTCCAAAGAGCACATTGCTCCGGGAATCGGAGACATCGAAAAAAAGAAAAGCAATGGGGAACAATTGGAAAGAGCGCAGGACAGGGTTATTTAAGGATCCCTAGTCGGAGGCCTAAGTCCTATGAGGAGTGATAAGTGTAAGTAATCAAGTAAGTTCGTATATAAATGTAAAAATAGGTCACAATTTTCATTCATTTTCTTAGCAAAATATTTTACATCTTATAAATGATTTATTCATTGGCTATTTCAGTAGTATAAAAAACAGTGAGATGATTTTTAGTATCCCTCAAAATCAACGTGAATCAACTTGCTTACACCGATTTATAGAAACACAACTTGTTAGTTGAAAAAGTATTCTGAAAGACATATTTTTTTCAGATGAAATAGATTGTCTGAAAATCAACACGTAATCTAATTTGCGTATCTAAGAAGTCTGTTTTATTTACCTATGCATCAAAGACCAATCACAATCCAATGAGGTTTTATTATAGGATGACTGGAGATGGCCTACTAAAGACCCTGGATCTAGGTTTCATGTTAGTGAGTACTCATTAGTGAAGCGTGCCTGCAATCTTAAGTGAACTGATTCTTTCTGTAGAATTAAAACTAGGCCTAATTAATAGATATGACACTGGTCACTATTACGACCACTCAGTAATCAATCAATGTAATCTTTTATTACAACATACAAGAAATGAAGTATATGAATATTCTTTCATTGTTATAACTGTCACTAGGTTAATTTCCCAGTTTCTTATTATGATTCTTTTTTTAATAAAGTGTATGATAAATAAACTTTATTTATGCGTAGTTCTTCATCTATCAGTTCATTTAGTGTTAAAAACTAGAGTATACTGATCATAGCCGCTTTCCTCTTTTAATTATACTAATGTTATGAGTAAGGTGATTGGAAAAACTCCAATCTTTGGATTTGATATCAAGCGTGGTCAGTGTAAAGTAATTCACACACTTATTTTCAATTTGTCCAAATCGATCAATATATCTTTATATTTAACTGCCGACAAAACAAGGAACTTTGACCCATTAATAAGATATGAAACCATAACTCTGCAAAGTAAACATGTTTTTTTCGGTTTCTTCACTTTGGAATAATATTAGTGCCATGGTAGTCTTAATTTAAAATTTATATGCAACACATCATTAAGGTAACATGTACATCCTTACCTCTTGCGCAATACTGTAAACTAATAAGATTATTAGAGTTGAAATCACTAGTTGATCTAAGCTAGAACACTATTAAAAACCTGGAAGCATTGAATGACCGTTTCATCGTGGTAAGGGAGTCCTCAGTAGTGTGCATCCACGATCCCGCACGCGGGATCCGGAAGCAGTAAATTAAGAAATTTTTTTATCAAATTCTCTTATGAAAAAACACTTAACATGATCATTTCTGGCTGAATACTTTTGAATATTGAATGAGTTATACCAAATGAATTTGTCGATGGATGAATGTGACTAAAACTGGATGATATTATTTAATTTTACACGAAATAATTGTTTTGAAGCAGATAACATGAAATTGTCAACTACTTAACTGAATTACATGAAAAGAGTGAAATTTACTATGTTTTCACACTGGCTAAGCAACTTGAAAGCTCAACGCAATTCATCTTATGTTGAATACACAGAAGTATGTATGAACTAAATAGTTTATGGACAATAATTTTTAATAAATATTCTATTTGAAGTTTTACACCATGAACTGTCATTGATAAAACAATCATTGAGAACCAGAAATCACTGAATGAGGACCCTTACCGCTAGTGCCTATCCACAAACCTTTCATGTGGATGAAAGCCATGGCATTCAAGTTTTACTGAGAGCTATAAAACTTTGAATCTCTCAGTAGGTATCAAATTGTTTACATTTTTAACTTCAACCAATTCTCATTACTGCTCAACTATCATCTATTGCGACTGATTACATTTGTCACACATTTAATATGACTTAACTTCACTGGTCATTACTGCTCATCAGAACTCCGGAGATTACCCTTCGAAATTATTCAGAACATGATTATAAGTATTGTTATTACACAGTATTATTGTGATTGTACATCTTAGACTGACTTTGGTGAGGAATTAAAATCCGGGATTTTATTCCTTGTGGTTAAACTTCGAATTCAATAATCTTAGAAAATTCCAGAAATAACAAAACATTCTATTCTCTTTGTATCGATACAAGTCATATATCCCTAGTTAGAGACAGATTAGATTACTACTCGGTGATACTATATCGCCTATTCAAACAGAATTAGAGAAAACGTAATTTGAACATGAGATTTAAATGATTAATTATTGAATGTCAAAACTATGTGCTATATGATAGAGTTAATGATATAGTGAAGCATATTCGTAGCTTAAGATGACAATTTTAGAGGTGTTATATTCATTCAATTAAATAATTTTATAATAATGTTTATGAACTATATTAGGCCACTGTAGGAAGCTCTGCTACTTGATAAAGTTTTCTTAGTTTAAAACAATGAAGTTTGTGCTGATAATTTCGTTCAGAAGAACGACGAAAACTCCACAACCAAACCATTCAACTCACAGAACAAAACTCCATCAAAATCATTCACTTAAGCTACAAATCTTCTCCACAATCTCACAATGAAACGTATGTTACACCAATTTGATTTTAAAATGATGGATACTCACAATTGATTGATCACTGGGTGGTGACCAATTTCATGCGTGTCTAGACCTTATTAGTGTAGATCGAATGCTCGAAACCCGGGTCCAGGGTTTTTTGTCGATTACATTCAACCACCATCTAATCTCAAAATGATGGATAATATTTATAATTCAGTTTAATGGTAAGTTTCAATATTCAATAAACAAATTTTTTCAAAACTTATTTCATAATCTACACATTTGAACAAATCCAGGGATAATAATAACAATAAACCTTCTAAACAATAGGGATTAGAAAAAAAAGGAAACTTTCGATATTGAAAAGAGCAAACACACAATGCACACACGCACACACACACACACAAACACGATAAAATGATAAAACCAATGATAAAATCAACAAAAACAAACAATAGAATTTACTTAGTTACACTTATTCAATAAAATCGAAATGATTCAATGTTGCTGTTATGACAGTCTCTGTTATTATTTAATTTTGAATGTGCTGACGTTAAACTGATCAGCCCTCTTTTAGTTCATAAATAATTTTAAAAAAATTTATTTGAAATAAATAAACAAATAAATAAACATCGTAATGTTTTTGTTTTAATTGAGAGAATTGCAGAGTGGAGCGAATTTTAAAATTCTCACAGAGAGATAAAAGTATAGTTAGAGATGAGTTAATCAGAACTGCGAATGCATAATAAGAGATAGAGATACATTTATGCGTTGATCAGAATGTTTAAAATGATAACAGGAAATTATTTCTTGGCAAATTGATCCTATTCCTTGAACCTGAAATCTTGTAACAAATTTTAACCTATTGACGTTATATTTTATCAACGTACTGATTTCACAGTGTTACATGGATTTTGAGGTTGAAAGTTTTTCATTTAAAAGACTAAAAAGGTTAATTTTTCACTACAGTTCATGTCGGTTTGCGATGAAAACCCTAATTTTAACGCTAACCAAGAATACTGCGAGAACTCTTAAAAGCCTACTTGTGTCCTTTTAAGGGTTGGAGAGACGCATAATGAAAATTCCTATGAGGGAATTTACTTGTCATTGTTTTTGTGATTTCAGTCAGTTTTGTCATATGCAATGTAGAATTTAACACGTGTGTAGACTAAAGTTTCCATGCCACATTAACACAGTCAGAGACAATTATCAAGATAAATCCCAGAGTAGTAGGAAAAATGACAGCATCAATAGTAGTATAAAAGATCACTTGTACTCAAAAAAGGTATAAGGAGATTTTGGGATTCAGGAACTAAGAGAACATAAAGAATGAATGCATTTACGCCTCTAAGGACTGTTCCGAACCATGTCACTCAACGTTTCCGACTACTGACCACAGATATCTCACGAACTCCAATAGTTAACTTGCAACAACCTACGTGGATCAATCCAACAATGACTTCATGGACTGATGCAGCGTTTTAGTGTTGTCACCCCTAAGTTCCTTTCAATATTTCCCTACAAAAGACAATATCGCTCATCTAGGCAGGCGGTGGTTCGGCATACGTAACACACGTTCTAACCACCTTAGCTGATGAAGATTCACTACTTCATTAATCAAATTTCCATCCCTACTTAGTACTCTATATTTAGCCTAAGTATTATATTTTCTTACGGTTTACAGGCACAGCAACCTGTAGATGACTTTAATAGACTTATTAAATATGCAAAATCTGTTTATACTTTGTAATATTATTAGTTTTTCTTTCTTCAAAAACTGTTCATTTACAAGATATGTTTTTTGATTGGTCCAGGGTTGGCTGAAAATCTCCGCGGTTAATTTTAAGCTCCTACCTATATTATTATCTTCATATCAAATTAATTTAATTTAACTGATCAGTTGTAAAGTATACAGCGAAAAAGACTGAACAGTACACATTATGAATTAAATAGATCGCGAATGGATTTTAAGGGTAAGATAAATCTAGAAGTTTTCACAGATTCACTTTTTTTCGTCGATTTTTTATTATTTGAAAGGGTTATGGGGATAGCTCCTTAATGGTCATTGATTTACAATGATTTTCGCTGGTTGATGTCAACTCATGTTGATGATTATACAAACAGTTCACTGAAACCATTTAAAATAATATTTGTGCATTTGAAGATGAATTTTCGACAGAAATCTAATGAAAAACTGTAACCTGTGTAATAGTAGTAGTAGTATACAGAGTTGTGAGAGAAGTAAGATGAAACTTATTCAATGTACGGCGATTTGTATGAAGTCAGAAAAAGTGATCGGTAAAGCCTTAGCTCAGAAAATCATGTCCTTCAAGAAACGTAATGATCCTGTACTTCATTACCCTTGTGGAGTTGTATTATGTGTACTATTAATAAGTTCCAAACAAGGATGAAACAACAGTAAACATCATGAACAAACAACCTTAGAGGAAAGGGGATTACTATCATCTGCTTTACATATGACAATTCCATATAAACAATATCATATAGAACTATGAAATCCAATCATCAGATAAAGTTTAATACGCTAGTAAACTTGTCAAAAGCTTAAAAACGACATTCGATGTTGTTACAGAATTAATGGTTCCTTTATTTAGTGTAAATAAAATTGGTCCATTAGACGGAAAATGGCAAAAGGAATAACTGTGTTAAAAAAGAGACTTGGTGAAGAATGAATATTCTTATCTGATACAGTTTAACGTTAGACTTTTTCACATTTTCCAAGGTTCCTCAGCCTTGAATTGATTAGAAGACTGAATAAGTATATGGAACTTGTAAGAAAATTTGATAATTGCACAATCATAGCAAACAGAAATGTTAGTTTGTTTTTTATAAAAAAAAAGTAAACATTACCACTTACATCAATGATTTCCTCCTTTTCATTCCAAACATTCGGTTCGACTGTGAATAAACCACGAGACCAATTACCAAAAATTATTCTCTTTAATACATATGAATTATTATGATGATTAAATATATTTTTACTGATAGTATTAATAGTAGTATTATGAGATGTATTTGAAGCTGAAACTGCCTGCGTTTTATCTAATGTTGATGGAGCATATAATTCACCGACAACACGATTACAACCATGTCCAAACGAATTAGATGGATGAAATTCTAACTGACAATATAATCCTAACGAATGATTAGTGATACGCAATGTACCAGTCTGTAAGTATCCGAAAGAAAAGAAAAGTCAAAAGAGTGGAACAAAATGAAACAAGATCGTAATGGTAGTTATGAAAAATAATAATTTTTAATAGATTACCTTACAAACTGGTTTTTATTAGACAATCATTAAAAACCTGGAAACACTGGAAGGCTGTTTCGTTCTAATGTAAGACTCCTCTGCAGTGAGTACCCACGAATTTATCAGATGTCGAACAATAATGTGTTCACTATGACTAATCTCGAGAGGTGATTCCCGGAATTCTTGTGAGAAGTCCTGATCAGTGACGTTCAATTATGTTAGGTATGAGGTAGTTATTCACAAATGACATTGGACGATGTCTGGTGGGGTATCACGAATTGATTGAAATTGGAAGTACAAACCATTGGATGCAAGTGTACTAAATGTATCAAGACGTAATATATGTCGTAATTAGTCGGAAACTTTTCTGAAAAACACTGATGAAGTATATTTAATACGCAGTTAGAATGTGAAAATAATTTTTGTCAAAAATCGTCAGCAGATGGAGAACTGTAGAGTATAAAATACGACTGGGTAGTTGTTTCGTGTTAGTTTAAGGCTCCTCAATGGTGTCGACCCACATTAGACGAAATAGTTCCAAGAACATTCAATTCTTATGGGTTGAAATTTAATGGTTCACAGTTTTTAACTCAGTCCAATAATCACTGGTAAGCTTCTGCTTGGTATATTACACGGGCTACTGACTTATTGTGGAAATTTTTTGTAATTAATTTACAATCTATTTAATATAAGTGTTGGAGTATTGAACTGAACTAAATTACACAAAATCACCAATCTCTTATTTTCTGAGTGGTACAGTTTTTAGCAAGATTTAGTGTATTAATGATTGGTCAATTTAATCAGAAGTAAATAATGGTTACACATAACACTGAGAATAGTTAACAGTTAAGTGAACTATTGTTTATCATAAAATAAAGCAATATATTCATATAGTGGGTTTGTGGAGATTGTTTAATCTTATATTTTAAATCACGAAACCACTAGACAACTATTTCATCATAGGGATAATACATCTCAGTTGTGTTTATCCACGACTTTACAGGGGATTAAACCAAAAACCTGATCTCGCGGCGAACGCTGAGTCGGCGCATATGACGACATAACTTTCGACTTGAATCCGTTTTTTTTCATTCAACGCTAGTTAACTATTCAACTAAGTGACATGTAAATTTGAATAAACAGAAATATGATGAATAAAAAGTAACAAATTAAATCAACTGTTCAATCATCACATGAGAACTGAGAGTAAATGAAAATCAGATGTTAATCGAGTTCACATTTTGAACAGTTACAATTCATAACTCAGTCTGTATGAAATGTTGATAAAAAGCAAAGTTCATTAATATTCAATTAAATTGCTAATTACGCAACAGATATACATGGTGGAGGAGGGGGGAAGTTAGCAGCAGTCATTATCTATGGTTACCTAAACAAAATTAGGCGAGACGGAACTCAAACCTGGGACCTATTGGTTGAATGTCGGCATATTTAGCAAGCAATAATTAGTTGTTTCACATTTGAAGTGATGACATATGTTTATTTTACTTTCATTCTTGACACAATGACTATCATAGTTACTGATATTATATCATAAAATTAACAGCACTGTGCTAAATAGAAATTACTTTACACGTATATAAGCAACAAATTGCTCACAACAACAAGTAGACTTACATGTTCTACCCAAATTTTACCAGTCAATATATTATGTATTGTTAAATTAACATTTTGCCATGTATAAGATTCATTAAAATGATATAATTGTAATGTAACTAATCCTTTCGGTTGAACGTCAATTGATTTACCCCAAAAACGTAATTTAAATTGTAGAGTAGCACGCAGACTATAATTATCTGATTCAACATGAAAAGCTGTGATTGGTGGGTGATGAGATACCTTGCGATGTGAATGAAGAGAAACACGGATATAGATAATAACAAGGAAACGATGAGTGAATGTTTAGTAAAAGGGAATCTGTGGTGATAGACTGATTTTATAGTTTACAATGCTAGTTGATTTTAGTTAGAGAACCATTAAAAACCAGGAACTAATAGATAATTGTTTCTTCTTAGTATGGGACTCCTCAGTAGCACTCATTCACGGCTTCATTAGGGATCGAACCCATGAACTTTAGGTCTCACAAAAACAAACAAACAGAATTCTAGTGAGTGGCTCTGACTAGTGAAGTTCAACCATACTGGATGTGAAGCAGTTATCCACCAATATCATTTGAAAGAGGTTGCGCAATAGTGCGAGTTAATTGAGGTTAGACATGGAAACCACTAGATACCGACTCAATGGTCTAAAGGTTAAGTCCTCACGTGCTCTAACAAAAAAGAAACTTTACAAACACAATGCTGTAATAGTTAGGAATAACTCTATTATAATGGTTGATATATTTTCTTTGTTAATAGTCCTTTGAAAAGAAAACGGTGAAGAGAAGGACACGAGAGACAATTTTCATTGGAATTATACTACGCAATGACAAATGAAATTTGCTGTAATATCGCTATATTTTTTGATGAGAATTCTTCACTGTAATCAAACAATCGATGATGGGTAAGGCAATTATTATAATCATTATTACCATATTCGAAATTAGAGAACTTTGCATAACCATCTTCTGATGGTTAGAGACTGGTGACTTAATAAACACAATGGTAGGCGCACTCTTTATTTTGATCAATTAACTATTCACTAAACATAAATCCTGTTCATATAAATCTATCATTAATTAATAGACTACATTTTTGATAGGCATTTTGTCTTGTCCCAAGGGAAGACGAGTTTGTGATCAATTAAGGAAAGCGTAATGTAACTCTGAACCAATTAGATTTTCAAAGGTTTATAGCCTTATCAAGCAAATCATGATATACAGAACGGAGAAGATTCAAAACTCAAGTGGATGCTTTTAGTGATGTTGAGTTCTCGGAGCTAAAGATAGTTTAGTGACATAGCTTTTGTTATGATTTTGCATAACATCGTCAGCGCTTATTTCATGTAAAAGTGAGCTTCTTAGTTAATTTCTGAAATATATATCAGTTTGTTTTAAAAAAATCCATAACCTGTTATATAATGACTGAATGTTCATTGATCTTCCTATTAATAACAGCACGTTTCCCGAAGTTTACCGAATATTATTGTCACACATCAACCTATAGGTATTCCTGTGTTTTGTACTTAGACCAATCTTAAAAGTAAAATCACTTTTGATACTTCTTATCTTTTGTTTACTGTTCAGGGCTAAATTGTAGGAAATTTCTGAGGCGGATGAAAAGGGAGACTGGGAGATAGTTAGAAATTTAGTGTCAAGCATTCAAATGCCAGATTTATTAAACTTTATAATAAACATCAAAAGAAAATAACACCAAAGTAGCAAAAAAACTTAACCAATCAATCAGTCAATCACGGATGAAACATACTTGTTCTGCAACGAATACAAAATTCCTGTAGTGTAATTCGTAAGTTTCACCTAACAATGGATTGAATGGTTTACCAATACGACCAGCATTCGATGACATACTAGATACAGCGAATGCTGATACAAGCTGTAAGAATATTTAACAAAGAAAAAGAAATCAGAATTTTTCTAAATAATTCTCAATATACTTTGAAGTCCCTAAAATCACATAGCGGGAAGATTTAACATAACCATTACCAATCAACTGAAATTCATCTCCGTTACACAAGCTAATGTTTATCTGGGCTCAGAAGTTAAGCTGCTTAAAACCGCCGTGTATATTAAAGTTTCATTAATTGTAAAGCCAGAGATTCTAAATTTTAGCATCCTTAATCGTTAGTGGCTGATAAGTGTTTTAGAATCGCTTAAACTCGACAGTATACTATACTTTACCATATGTACATAGGCGTGATTACGATTGATTGGTCATTGAGTAGTGACTGATGTCATATGTGTCTAGCACGAAATGCTGATTAAATTCCGTCGACGGGTCACTAGCAGGAGAGATACACTTTTACGAGTTCTGTATTTTGATGTTAAGCGATTGAACGTAGTCCATAGAAAATTCTGAACCCAGGTTTTATGTTAATTTCAGCTTTTCATTAAGACATATCTTTAATCTTGAGGGGATTCATGCACTCTATACGATTCAAAACCTTTTCACTCTTTTTCACCGTCAGATGAGTTACAAGTGAGTTTTTCGTGTCACGAATATTTTCAAACTCTGAAACCGGGTTCAAGTCTCATAGGAAGCATCAGTTCCCTCTAGATTACAGGCATGCCGTGGTGATAAATGCCAGTTAGCACGGAACCTGGGCCTAGAGTTTTCCGTCTACTGTCTTTAGTAACCTTACATGTAAGCTGTCTTTTTGTTGGGAATAATTTCCTTTTAACGAATATCATTTATAGAATCGTAAACTGTGAGTCGTAATTCTTATATACCATACAACAGATATGAGTAAATTCAATAATAACTGACGTAAAACTGAGACTAGTTCATACACTTTGCTATGTAACTAGTTCACTCACAACTGGATATTTTAACTAATCAAAGGTATCCTAGTTTTCATGTTTTTTTTACTTCAATAGCACTGTAACATACAATAAAATAATGGAGATAAATGTTCATTGTGAAGACTGAGGTGCTTAGTAATGATGACTATTATTAGGACGAGATAAAAATATAACACGAAGAATTGATTTTCAAATGAGACTTCCTATTCAATTGATCCTTTCCTATGAATTCAATATGATTTTAATCAGAGAGGGGTTTTGTGAATATTGTAGTAATTTAATAGTTGAATTCATGAGTCAATTGAAGGTAGACTACAATGGAAAACCTGGAAGCGCTTGATGGCCGTTTCATCCTAATATGGGACTCCTCAGCAGTGTGTACCAACGATCGCGCCTCGTGAGATTCGAACCCAGTACCTATCAGAAGCCGTGACCAGTGAAGTTTAACCGAGTCTGTTGTGAAATAGTAACTCATTGAAGACAATGGTGGATTTGCCGCTCAATTTCGTGGATTAGTTGAAGTTAGACATTCACACTGTTGGATGCCGCTTTAGTGGTCTAAAGATTAAACGCTCACGTGCGAGAATGATAGGCCCTAAGTTCGAGTCCCGCGAGTCGGGATCGTGGATGCACACTGTTGAGGAGTCCCACAGAAGGACGAAGCGGCTGTCCAGTGTTTCCAGGTTTGCCATGGTGATCTAGCTTCAATTGACTCATGAATTCAACTATTAAATCAACATGATTTCTGTTCATTTAAATTTAAGCCAATTTAGTGTAGTTTTTCGTAAGCATAACAATAATTCATTAAATTATCATGATTTTTTAAAAATTTAACATTGGTTCAGTATAATATCCATATGTAACTAATTCTTTGTGATTGTACGTTTAAATGACAACTATTCAGTTTGATAAATTCATGTAACTAATAATCACTGAATTTAATTGTTATATAACTGAATAAACTTGAGTGTAATTCAATTCTCTTGGGGTCCCCCTCCAGTTAATCTGTCGTTTCAAGATTTAACTGAATTCGGATTTGATGTAATCCTACAGAAACTTTTAATTACCAGAGATTGAGGTTCTTTTAAAACGAATACGAACTAGCTGAGAACTCGACAGAATGATCACTGATACACACAACACTTCAACAAATATCTCTAATACGATAAAACCCTGGAAGACAGTTTAAAAGAAACCTAATGTTCTAGAAGTCAACTTAATAACTAAGACTATCTAATCTGAAACGTTCCTAGCTAAATTTTTCTTTGCGAAAGTTGTGTTTCTCAGTAGTCGTGATTACGAGAGAATGGAAAATATCGTACTTCATTTCAAAGTACCGTCTCATTAGGGAGTGGCATCGCCGATCATAACAACGACAATAAGTTTTATAGAAAAACAAAATATTATACCAGACATTGAGTATGTGCCGTTTGCGTAGAAAGATATAGAGTACGCTCAATAGTGACAACAATAATGGAATTAATTTAGTTTTTAATGTTTTGGATTATTCCACTGTCGATATTTTACTCAAATCTGATTAGTTTCTGTTATTACAAGTGGGTCCTGTGTGAATTACCTCACTATAGCCATCACGACACAAGTTGACATAGAGTAGATGAGATGTAGCTAGTATGCGAATCCAAGATGCGCGTGTTACCTTATTTGGGACTTCTTAACTGAATGTACCTACTTCATCCCAATGTTGACATTCACTACTGTAATCAAACACAGTACCATTCGATTCAAACGCCCAAACGCGTTATACACCCAAATACAGTCTAAATAGTCACTACTTTGTGCTATGGAGGTGAATTTCAATTCATTTGTAACAGTTGCTTGAATCTTCCCGTTGTTGATGTCAAGTATTGCAGAATGTATTGTGTGATGATGGTTTTATCAAAGCAATCTGCACAGCAAGAACATGTAGTAAACCAAGACTGATCAAAATTCAGTCCATAAATTAACAACGAGATTATCCAAACCATTAGAAATTAAATTAGAATTAATACACGTTGCATAAGGTAGTGGTTATCTGGATTTAGTAACCAAGTGGATAACGCATTGAAGTGTCTAAATTGAAACGTTGCTAGGTTCGAGCATCGATGCATAAAACTACTCCGGGATACCATTACATCCAGCTGATGAATCCCAAATAGAACGAAATATGAGTTTCGGATTCGCCTACTAGTGACATTCTATTCATTCTATGGTAAATAATAAAACTATTGAAATAACTTAATGTCAATCGAGAAAAAAACTGAGCAACTATCATGAATGCCAAAAAAATAACAGTTCAGAGCTACAAATTAACTTGAAGAAAAATTGTGTTTTTGACATCAGTTATCAACCTAAAAACAATAGAATTCTTATATGAATAAATTTCTAAAAGAAAAATAAAGTTCCGATAATAAAAAAAGAAGAACTAAAAAAAAGAAAAGAAAAGGAGAGAAAAGAAAAGAAAACAATTAGAAAGATTCAATAGTGAGATATTCATATGATTGACTGTATAGATTAACAACATTTGAAGAACACAACTTTAATCATTAAATTTATAGTGAAATAGGTTAAACAACGAAAAATGTGTGTGTGTGTGTGTGTGCACGTAAGTGTATGTATTAAAACCAAGTTTTATAAGTAGGTTTTTTTACAATCCAAAAAATGTAGAGGGAGAGAGAGAGAGAACTGTTTTCAATTTATTTAAGAATGTTATTGAACTATTGGTTAGACGTTAAAGAATGACCAAGTGACCAATAACAAAGTTTAAACAAAAAAGAATAATATCAACTGATGAGAATAAGTAACTTATATATATATATATATATATATATATATATATATATATATATATATATATATATATATATATATATATATATATATATATATATATATATAGATATATATATATATATATATAGATATATATATATATATATATATATATATATATACCGTTTAATACTAGACAGTACTAAACGGTTTTCCTGGCTCACAAGGGTATATTATATAACTGTGAGGGGTACCTAGCTTGTCTTATGCCCTGTTGGTGTTCTCGTAACTTTCGGGTTGCCTGATCTGCCAAGGGTGATGGGACAGTGCATGATGCTATTGTCGTGTACTAAGTTCAAAGAGAATTGTATGCTATATGCATGCAAATCCGCCCCGTTATTGTTCTTGCCCCCAAATGCCCTGGTATGGCCGAAAGTGGGTTGGGTTCGCCCTCCCTCTCGAAATGCTATCACACGGCCACGCGTCTACAGCCTCTGCCAGGGAAGTCCTACTCACTACCTTCTCACACCACGGGTGTTGTTTACGAAAATGAGAGGACGGAAAGCGAATGTCCGGCGCTTTAACCGGATCCCAAACCAATAGTGCACATGGGCTTCAGTATCCTGAGGGAACAAATGGCGTATGAACCAATTTTCGGTCACCGGCTACTATGGGACTGCATCTTCTCACGATGTTCCACTGCCTTGTGGGTCAGAACTATAGGTCAAAGGCTCGGAGTGTGGCCCCCTGAGAAAACTACCTGCTTCGGGCTGGGCACCCGGGCAGTATCAAAGCTCACACACAAATATGATGAACTGTCGATAATTATGGAAAATACTCTTCTTGCCTCAATTAACAATCAAACGATTCACGTTATTATTATTATTATTTACTATGTCATTTATTCACTCTCTTTTATTCCCACTCTGTCTATCCTTATTTTTCGACTTATACAGCAGCTCGTCTATGGTGGAAATTCGGCTCTATCTAAACGTTCTCGGGTAGAGACGTTATCAGATATGGCTCAGAATAGAAGCCAGTGGTGATCCTGCTGTAATCTTCCTCTACATTCTTCATAAAAAGTGGTTGCTTCTTCCTTAACTGAAAGATCTCTTCTGATTGTTCGTTTTTGTTTCCCCCATTATTATTATTACACTACCTTACACTAATCTGTTCGTTATTGTTCTTTTTTTCTCTTCGACTTCTCATTGTTTTGTGTGGCGCATATATATTTGGTGCCCTCTTGGACCAATATTTATGTGTTCAAATAAGTAAATAGTACTAAACCTTTGTTTCATACTCATGTACGACTTTTCGGGTTTGTGCACTTATAACCTCGATACCGCTCAAACTCAAGATTATCAGTTCTAGCAATGAGAGCCTAACTTCTACATTACTAAATTGATTGATATACAAAGGTTCGTATTTCAGTTGATTCAGGATATTATGCAAGGAGGATGTGTATACTAAAACGAGACTGTCGTATAATATATCCTGACTTCTGATAGTTGTTTATCTATAATTAATTCCCTGACGTGAACTGTGAATTAATCAATCTTCACAAAATTCCCGTACTAACATATTATTATATGTAGATAAGTTTGTAAGAAAGAAACCAAAATCACTCAAAAAGATTTAAAAAAACACATTAATTATGAAACAGCCTTGTTTTTTGTTTTGAAAAAAAAAATTGATATTCAGCTTATACAGCACGCCAGTTGCCTATAAATCATACGCATACATACGACTGTATTTCTGTATCTCATCTTCATTCTTTTCTCACTGTGGTAATAGAAAGCTACAAGTTATTTACTTGTCTGTTATGCCTGTTACTTCTCGTGAAGCATAGGACATAGACCAGGATTCTACAACCTACTCATTGTGAGGACACTCCACACACCTATGTTAATTGTTGCTCCAATATGAAGACGCTATAACTTCCAGAGCTGAGTTTAAATAGTCAAGATGACTTTTTCTGGTTAGCGATTTTTAGCTTAGTTGGATGGAGTTGCTAACACCATCCTCAACCTTCCTCGCTTATCGGTGCTTGGGACTGGCAGTAAACCTAGAAGGGCTCCAGGTGGAGTTTAGTTACGACTTAATCATGCAAATATTTTCAGATAATTTCAAAATAAAAATCAAGAACCTAGAACAACGTGAGTTATTAGGTACAATATTTTGAGTTTAATTAGAAAATAAACTTTATGACCACAAAGTTTATGAACTATTCAGAAAGAAGAGCATATATATATATTTCTGAATGATTATAACATCTTTGGATGTAATACTAGGTGACGTAAGTTCGAAGTTTTGCAGACAGTAATTTTTTGCCCTGAGATTGTAGGTGATGAATACCGGTTGAGATGATACATGAATCCAGTAATTCTTTATCGATTATCTCTAATCACTTAGTATTGAAGAGAAAATGAAAGTGTTCTAACCACGATTCATTGGCAATATTTCAAAATATGAAGATGGTTGATACTAGTCTCAATCTAACAGAGAGCATTAACTCCTTCAAAACTGCAGCTAGGCCTTGCTGATCAGTTCCAAATAGCATGAAACTTAGGCCCAGGGTTCCTTATCAACTGTCACCGATCGCCTAAAATCTCAACGTAGTGTACATGATTTTGTCACTTAAACTAGTGAACACATTGTAACTTGATCGATAGAATTCGATCAACACTAAAAAAGGCTAGAGAAAAATAAGATCGGCTACTACTACTCAGTAATAACGCATCAGACTGTGAAGCTGTGTGATACAAAATCAAACCCCACAGAGGATATTAATTTCTCCAAGATTACACGTTAAACTTGATGACGACTGACAACTAGCACGAAATCAGAGTTTAGAGTGCCATGTCGACTGCTTCCAACCACTTAACATATTCTGAACATTTCAATCGAGTTGAAATTTTCTTAAAATGAAATCTTACCAAGTTAATTCATGTGAATTCCAGTCTATGAAGTTTGTAAACACAACTTGAACATGCTTACAAACTTAATGCTTAACACTTAATGTATATTCAAGACAATAATGATTTTCATTATTCGAATTTAGTCTGCAAATTATTGATTTGTTTTCTTTGTAAAATTAGAAAACTTTTAATAAAATATAATAAATTATCTGTTCTCTTGTTCTGTTCTAAAGAATATTTAAGTGAGTTTGTATTACCATTTTTTATTAATGTCAAAGACTGTAATTGACCAGCCTCTTTTTAACATATTAGCATCCTAGAAGGATTATCTCAATGCAGATTTATGGTTGTTTTCTCGTTAAAGTTAGACGGTAGCTAGCATTGGAATCCAGAACTCACGTTTCGTTCTACTCTAAACTCATCACTTGGATGATCACACTGAAACTAGACGCTATACCTTCATCTTACAAATAAAATTCATACACATTTGAAAAGCTAGTGACCATCTGGACTCAATACTCTAATAGATAGTCCATCAGGAGTTTGAGGTGGAAAGTTCTGGCTCTGAGTCTTAGTAATGAGAGGTTGGTACACGCGGCTGACGACTCACAAACAGGATGAAATGCGTGTTCTGAATTCCACAGCTAGCCACTATCTGACTTCACTACAAAATTGTGTATGGTAAACAATTAGAAATATACATAAAGATATAGATAAACAAATTCAGTGTGAAATCAAACTACTCTATTATTCTAACAATGTTTAACCCCATTCTCCATACAATTCATGCAAAGTTACTCATAAAATAGTTGGCAATCCACCAGTCTCATAAATACGATTTACAGTAATAATGACTATTCCAATGATACTTTAAACCCTAATACGACAAATTTCGATTACTTCTTTCTCTCTCTCTCTCTCTCTTAAACTGTACTTTTTCGAAACATACATCTTACAAAAGTGATCTATCTGATAAAGACTTTAAAAGAATTCAGCTTAAATCTAAGTTCACTTATTGATCAAATTCAATAATAATAATAATAATAATAATAATAATAATAATAATAATAATTATTATTATTATTATTATTATTATTATTATTATTATTATTATTATTATTATTATTATTATTATCGAATCACAGGATTGTTTTTATTATTAATCTGCATAGTTACTATTTTTAAATGTAAAATCTCAATGAATTAATTTTAGTATCATAGGGGTTTTTTGGAGATTTTAGTAATTTAAACAGTTGAGATCATGAGTTGAAGCAAGATCACCATGGAAAACCTGGAGGCACTGGATAGCCGTTCCGTTCTATTGTGGGACTCCTCAGCAATTCGCATCCACGATCCCGCCCCGCGGGATTCGAACCCAACACCTATCGGTCTCGAACGCGAACGCTTACCCTCTAGATCACTGAAAAGGCATCCAGTGGTGTTAATGTCTAACCTCAACTAATCCACGAAATCGCGTGACCATTTTTCATTGTATCGAGGTAGATACCTGTCTCTACCCGATACGGATTATCTCCACTGGTCACGGCTTCTCACTAGAACTCCGAAAATTCCCTCACGAAGCTAGTCAATAATGAGCACATGGTAATTATCAGTATAGGGTTGTGGAGATTAATAGGAAGAAACAGCCGTTCAGTGCTTTCAGGTTTTCAATGGTGGTCCATCATCAGTCAGTTCATGATCTCAACCAAAACCTTAATAATCCTCACAACTCTATACTGATACTTTTTAAAGTATTCAATATATGTGTGTGATATCTAGTTGTTTATTTTTATTTTTTAGGTTCATTTAGTGAGTGATTGCTGCATTTAAGAGTAAAATTTTCTTTGAAGATCTTATTTCAAACTCTGAATTACACATTATTTGTATTTTAATATGGTTAGTTGGAATGCGCAACAGTAGTATGTTTTTACGGAACAGACTTAGATGAGTAAAATGAAGTCCTTAGTGAAAATTACACTTTTATATGTAACAACAACATACTATCGGAGTGGGAAAAAATGCCAGAAAATGCCGGATACTGGTGTTAATCCATATTGAAAAAAGGATCGTTATACTCGAACTTTCATAATACGTTACATTTTTGAGTTTAGTATCCCTAACAGTAAACTATAATTTCATATGTTGTGTAAATGGAAAAATGAAACATTGCCTTCTCGATTAGTATTGGTTCATAGGTATATTTTATCCATCTTCATTAGGTATTTAACAATTTTATTGACTAAAACCGCATTTTTTGAAATGGAAACGACATGCAACTTCTGATTGGAAGTTTTGTATTTGTGTCTACTATTGAACAATGTGTATCGAAAAATTGCATCAGTCTGATGAAGGCTTTTCACTGACCGAACTGTTTAAAATAAATGTATTATGAGATGTCGGTAAGGATTTCTCACTCCATCAATCTCGTTCAATTTTATTAGGATATATTTTACTGTTTCTTAGTCATACTGTTAAGAACTGTTCTAATGACAGACTTTTTCATCAATACTGATTAAGTACATAACATTGAAAGAAATACCAGTTCCTTGAATGGCTATAGGTCACGGTGCAAAAACTTTTGGTATGGATTTGTTCAACTGAAGGTAGACATGGCAGACATGCATAGATTACTCGTATTTTTCCTTAGGTTCCTTTAGATATTTGATCGTGTATGGAGTAACCAATAATAAGTAGTACAAAAATTAGAGGTAGAATACTCGCCAAGGGTAGGTAGTTATGAACTACACTTTTATGAACAAAGTTTTGGTTGTTAAAACAAATGAAACGAGTTTCTACTGACAAAAAGTGTGCTATAATACAGTGTGTCTTAGTGATGGCCGCACAAAGACTGGATTATTGACGTAAGCTATGGGATGATTTAAGATCAAAGACAAGAAAACTCGACAGAAAAATAGGTTTTCTCACGTAATAAAAGGAAATGCTTATACATTAATTCTAAACACAAAATGAACGTGATAAATTATCTTAAGCGATTGGATCAAGTTAGTTCGTAGGTCACTCATTCTCTGATCAATTAAAACTTGTGAAATTTCTAAAATCTCCACAAAACCCATTCTAAAACCTGACTGTTGGGGCTGACTCTTACTCGTTATATTAGTAGTAACTAGGTTGATGTGACTGCAAACCCCACAACGGCTAAACTGGTTACGAAATTTGTATTATTAATGTTGTGAGTTTAATCAGTTATTGTAACGTGCTGACTGTCACTTACACACATTAATCCAATGAATAAATGAGAAAATATTTTTTTAGATGGAATAAAACTAACCTCCATACGTTTAATAGGATCTTTCTCTCCAACTGCTCTATCTAGTAATTCGGAATATTCCATGTATTCAGCAACACGTTGCAGAAAACTTAACGGTTCATTAAGAATGATTGGCATAGTGATTTTAGATAATTCCTTGAAGTAGAAAAGAAATATACGAGCGATAGTTAAGTAATTAACAAACTAGTAAATTGAAGAGAGCAGTAAGAGATTTTTCATACTAAAAATTATATACTTCACCGAACGGCATTCACTAACAAATTACTTAACAGAATGGTACAGCACTAGAAAGTTATTTCACTCTATTCTGAGACTACTTAGCTATATGCACACGTACGACACAAGACTTACAGATATCATGGAGAATGGTATTTTTAGACCGCTGAGTAGTCAAAGACCAACTTTTCATGTCCAGTCAATAGTTACAATAGGGTTACTCATAAACCTCTCAATAACGAGAACCATATACACAATTGTGACTAGATTCCTAGAGCTCAACTGGAAAACCGTAACCAATGGTGCTCGATCATTTCGAAATAGCAGTCTAATAATTTTACTGGATGACAATAACGCAACTAATTGAAATTTTGTTGGAAAACCTCAATAATCCTTCGTAAACGTTTTAACATGCTAAAAAATGTTGAAAACACTTTTTCCGATCACTGTTCAATAGAAACTTCCAAGAATTTCCTATAGAAACGATCTATTATTTTTCCTTCCTTGATCGGATCATTAATTGTTATTAGTTTCAAAGGCTATTAGAAAATTAGAGTCATAACGCAATCCTAAAACTACCGTTTTTTCTGTGCTCAAACTAATTTTGGAAGTTTCACTCCATAATTTTCGTCTATCTTTTGTTTAAGGCTGAAATGCAGGAGAATTCTAAACGGAAGGGTCTAGGAAACGGCCAGAAAACCAGTGTCAACGGTCCAGGCAACAGATATATCAAGTTTTAAATGTGGGCTATTGAACGGAAAATCATTAATCTAAAGGTTAAGCATACGCCTCCCTTATTGTGAAGTTTATAAGAGCATGCTTTTAACGAGTCCCAACCTCATACAAAGCAACTGTCATGTACTCCTTGTTTGTTAAAACCAATAAGCGCAAACTAACTTGACATTATTAATTATCCAACAATTACTCAATCAAAACAGGTTGAATTTCTTCCCATAAGGAGATTTCCATAGTTATTGTATGTGTAATCACCCATATAAATTGATGATATCATAGTAGTGAACAGTAATTGACACTATTACATAATCTTAATTTATTTCTAATTGTTGTTCTGATCAATACTTGTGAAAATCAATATTTTCATAATTCACGAAGCTAACCGATCACATATAGTTTTTTTCGGAAAACAGAGAGTAATAACTTTTAATTACTTAGAGAAAAAAATATATAACTAATCAATTTGGATTGTTCGCTTTTTTTGAGTAGTGAATATAAGATGATTAACAGAAACAAAATTTCTATGGTTGGGATCATGAGTCAATTAAAGCTAGACCACCATGGAAAATCTGGAAGCACTAGACGGCCATTTTAGTTGAGAGCAGAAAATCAATGGTCAACATTAAATCTTTAGAATGGATGGAATGTGGTTAATGATTTTTCTCCTATTTTGAAGTCATCAGCTGAATGTACACCTGCATCCTAATATCGATGTTCACACCGAAACTAGAAATCAATAATCTTCACTTCAAACATCCTAACACATTACCCAGTGACCTAATGAGTCACAATAGCCAGTAGCTAGGGTTTGAATCTTTCGGTTGTTAATCTTAAAAACAGTAATTGATCAATCACTTTTCGCAATTTGTGTATTATCCTGAGTGGATAGTCTCGATTGAAATTCACCCCTTAATATTAACGACAGGAGGATTCAAACACTTACAATTTTTTTGTCATTTCTTCCCTATTGACTAAATTATCAAACTTTAAAACAATTGTAACCAGTCCGTAATTACGTTGATTTATTTGCTATGTCAACTTTTTATCAATATAAACAAAAATTTAATGGAAAACTACTCCTCTAGAGATAAGACTTTCAGAATGATCAGTCATTCGTGTAATTATTAATCAAAGGTGGTAATACGGAGGACAACCAATCAAACACAAGGTCAATCAGAAAGGCCTCCTGGCTGTTTATAGAAAAAATAAAAACTTTGTCTTTTGCTATAGCAACTAACATTTGTACCGTAAAACCATACAGATTAGGAAATAGAATATCATCTCGTAATTTTTTGGATGGTTAAAACAAACAAGTTTTTCTGTTAGGCTAATTTGACTAATTTGTTTTATTGGCTCATATTTAGTGAACGAAGCATGATACAATGTATTCATCCCATCAATAACTACACAAACCTAACAGGTTAGTAGCTGAATAAAGATAGCCCACCAAAGTCAAACAGTCAAAATCAATGAAGAACCTGACACATATGTGCGTTGAGCGAAGATGTCATATAAATTTAGGACGACGAAATAAATATAAAAAGATGAACAGTAAAGGAATTTAAATAATGTAACAGTAATCCCGATAAGAAAGACCAAACATGGTTCAGAAAGGTAGAAAGAAAAAATAAGATATGTATGAAGGAATATTACATCTTGTGATCTGGGAGGATGCTGAAGAGTGAATGAATTTACACCATTGTGAATGATTCTGAATCATTCAACAGCTTCAAACAGTCACTACTTATACTGAGAAAACCCTAACCAGGTAAAACTTTGGTTTGGTCAAAGTCAAATTGACACTCAAAATAATCAATGTTTAGTTACAAATATTTTTTTAATATAAAGTCAATAAATGAAGAGACATTTCGAATGAACAAGAAACAATCACATCGAATTTCAACGAAACTCATTTATTAATACAATAACGAAATGAAATTTAATCTTCTTTTTGAACAGAATTAAAACTAGAATTAACAATCATAATAATAATGATAATAATTGTTACCTTTCCAATAGATTGTTTCACAAATGACCATACACTAAAATCCGTTTTAACCATTTTACATGGAAGAGATTTTCTATAGAAGGAAAAATGTAACAATCGTCATAATCATCATGAGAAACATCAGAAAAAGAAGGAAAACAAACATGGATTTGTCACAAAAACAAACAAACAAACATGAACTTTGTTTGTTTTTTTATCAGGTTCAGCTGTGAGTTAATCAATTTGATCATCATTATTAATGTACATGAATGTAACTGTAAATAAAAGAAATAACCTAATTATTCAAGATAAGATCAAAAGAGTTGAATAATCTTTCTTTTTTAATCAATTTACTAAATTGTTCATTGATGTATAATGAGAAAAAAAAACAAATACTATTCAACATATACTCACTGGAGTTCTAGTGAGAAGCGATGATCAATGGAGTTCAACTAGGTCTGTTGTGAGATAGTAATTCACTAAAGACAATGGTGGGTGTGTCACTCAAGTTCGTGGATTAGTTGAAGTTAGACATTAACACTGTTGGATGTCGGCTTAGTGGTATAGAGGTTAAGCGCTCTCATGCGAGACTGATAGATCCTGGGTCCGAATCTCGCGAGTCGGGATCGTGGATGAGCACTGCTGAGGAGACCCATGATAGGAGGGAACGGCCTTCCAGTGCTTCCAGGTTTTTATCGTGATCTAGCTTCAATTGACTCATGATCTCAACTACTGAAATAACTACAATCTCCACAAAACCTCTTCTGATAGTAATTACTAATATTACTAGTGGTATAGGGATATGTGGAGATTGTTAAAATTTCCTTATTTGTATCATTGATCAATTTAGATTACCAGTGAAAACCAGGAAGTACTAATTGGTTGTTTTTTCTTAGTATGGAATTCTCCCTCAGCAATAACCATCTATGAGAGATGACCATGAAATATAATGAATGGATTAGAGTTGGACATGTGTACCAGTAGGTTTCAGCTCAGTTGTATAAAGACTAAGAGTTCACAAGCGAGACCAAACGTCCCGAGTTCAAATGGAATCATACATGTGCACTGATAAAGAGTCTTAATATTAGGGAAAAACAGTTGTTCAATGCTTGCTGGTTTTCAATGTTTATCTAATTATGAACGGTCCGTGATGTAAACTTTTATTAAGAAAATGAGAGCTAGAAATTAAAAAAAAATAAACTGAATCAGTATTTACTATTCTTAGATTGATCGTTTGATATTACGCTTATCATCTTCAATTTCAATTACAGCGAGTCTTATCTCATTGAAAATGAATATATAGTTTGTTACAGTTTAAAGTGTGCTTGTATACTCTAAGATTGATTGATATAAATGAATTTAAGTGATTTATCAATGATTCCTATAAATTAACCAAACATACAGATCAGCTATTCATATACAAGATAGAATCAAAAACTTAACAATCTTCATAACCCACACACTGATAACAAGATAGAACTTGGCACATGTGTGCATTAGTTTGATTTAAATTCCAGAGTAGGAGAAAAAAGCGTTCATAAACAATCCGATTGATTAAAGAAAAATAAATAAGATTGCGGAATAAAAATTTTAAAATAATTTTGAAACTTCAAGTATGTGAGGGGAGGCAAGAATGAATGTATCTACGCCATTGTAAGTCATTTTACACATCCCAAATCATTGATGACGATAATCTCGAAGACTTCAACCAAGCAGTTTGCATCTACCAACACGGTTCAACTCAATATTCAATAACTTCAAAGTTACAGATATTAACACTAATCTTGACCTGTAAGTGTGATTTGGATAATGGGAGATGAAATTTAAATGTGACAATTCGATCCCATTAATATTATTATTTTAAAACGTATGCTAGATCATTTCTCTAGTAAATTTATAGCTGAGGGTCTTATCTTGTTCTGAATAAAACTTCATCGACGAACTGCGTTTAAGGTTCTAGCCCCAGACCTACCTATAGACACATTAATATTCATAGATGTATTACATAACATTGTCAACAGAAAGTTGATTAAATGTTCTCCGAAAGTACTTTCATCATTCATTATAATTTCTTTAGTTTTAATCATTAAGAATTTGAACAAAGTTTAGTCAATTTTAAGTTTACTCAAAAACACAGCAGAACTCAAGGAAATGTATTTCAGTAAATAAATAAGAACTTTCGTCTACATTTGAACGAATAGTCTCACAATATTTGGGCGCCGACTTAATTTGAGACATTAAAAAGAAGAATATATTTGTAAAATCTCAGCGAATGAATTTGAAGTAAATCCAACGTTTCGCCTGGCAATCTGGTCGAAGCTTTTTCAAGGAAAATATAATCAAACAACAAAATTATCGAATATAAATAGGTACATGGTTTTCTGGTTTACTGTATTTCAGTTTTCTTAAAATTAATAGTCTTGAAATGATGTTGCACAGACGTAAAAAAGAAGGAAAATAAGGGATAAAATCGTTGAGCACCTTTCAAACAAATGCAAACGGCCGGCTCTGTGATCTAGAGGTTAGGCGTTCGCGCGCGAGACCGAAGGTCCTGGGTCGAAGTCCCGCTTGCGTGATCGTGGACGCGCACTGCTGAGGGATCTCATACTAGGACGAAACGACCGTCCAGTGTTTCCTAGTTCTCAAAGGTGGTCTAACATCGATCCATTCATGATATCACACTAAACTCAACAACCACCGCAATCCTAAACTGATAAATGCAGTGATAATAAATACTTTAGAACTCAAACAAATATTAGCTGGAAATAATTACTTCTTGATGTGACCATGTGATTTTGTTAATAAACAAAGGAAAAATTGTTTTTTTATCAATAGAATTGCTTAATAACGATTATATCGATAATTAAACTAACTGGAACAAATACAATGATTTTTTATTTTAGAAAGTCACACATGAATGTGTAAGACTCGATGACAGACAGAAGAGAAAATGGACAGATATTTATCTTTAATACGACAAAAACGGATTTTTGCTAGTACAGCGAGGGCGGGTTTGGAGATTGTTTAACTTAGTGGTTTACATTACAGATCAAATTCAGATAAACAACCATTGGGAATCAGGAAACACTGGAAAGATATTTCATCGTAATATGAGACCCTTCAGTATTGCTTATTCACGAATAAATTGGAGGTCGGACCAAGGACCGTCAGGTTCCACGATGAGCGTGTGACAAGTAAACCATCGAATTTTTATCCAAATGGTTCAAAAACCTAACTTCAATCAATTCGTGAGTATTACACAATCATCTCCCAATACTGATTGTGTGAAAATACCTCACATTTGACAAGGTTGAACTCCACTGGTTACGGTTTAACACTAGAACTCAGGGAATCATCTCTTGAAATTAGTCATTAGTTAATACATGTTTTTTATTAGTGCAGGGGAGGGGGTTTGTGAAGATTTGGTAAAGCCACGACTGAATCACTTATTTTTATATCGATCTACCACAAATTGATTACCAACTTTACATTTACTTACACCTGTTACCCCACGTGGAAGAGTATAGGTCACTCATATTGATTAACAAATTATATTTCAGACAAACTAGAACTTAGTCGATTTACAATTGACTGATTAATAATCTTAATATCAGGAAAATAAAAATTTCATAACTGGTTAATCAGTAACACAATAGGAAGCCCGTTTTTTTCAATGATAATAATATTGTGAAAATGAAAACATGTTCCCGACTAAACAAAAGTTGCTGACTTAGTTACATTTATCCATGCTCATTATCCAATCCCCAGTAGTAATTTTAGCACAATGAATGACAAATCAGACCGCATAATCAGGGAGGGAGAGAATAACGCTAGTGTACACTGAACTATTTAACTGCAATGATGCTGATTACAATAATCTTTGGAGATGAATCATTGAGATACACAGGTGGTAGAGTTCTACATCTTGGTTAATTATATGTTGAACTGATGATCAGAAAAGTCTAAATTTTATTTCGTCCAAATCATATAGGAATATGAAAAGTGTTAATTGAAAAAGAGACTTCATTGAACAAGTATACCGATTTTCTTCAACTTTATAACGCAATAATATAAACTGGATCTAAATATTTAATTCAGAAGGCTAGGGAGTAATTGAAAATAATCTAGGAACTATTGAGTAGGAGTGAAGATCTGTAAAAATCTGGAACCCCTAGTGTACGTGTGAAATTAACTATTCTTTTTTTCAATTTTTAATAAAAGTACAATACATAGCATTTTCACATCCAGTTAATGGGTGTGTTGCATATAAGAGTATAACCGTCACTGGTTTTTTTTATTTCAATCACCTAACGCTGTCTAGTAAAAGCACGCTACTGTATCTCACCTAATCTGAAATCTAAAGAGGCCATCCTCTTTGTAACACTTTGTTATTCGCTTATCGTCTTAAACTGATTTTTATTGGTTTCCATGACCATTTTTTGACTTTAGTTCATGGTTAACATTCGTCATTTTATAGTGTTTTATTTACACGTACAACTAACTTTTTCAAGACTAATAATCTTTTTAGTTACTGTCAGCACCACACTTCATTGCTTTCCGAATTTCCAGATAAAAAAATGTTTGTTCTTACAGCTTTTCCGTTTTGCACCTTTCCTTCGTTAGAGTAATTGGTTCATTTTTGGAATCTTATACGCTGGGTTTTTGAAAATAGGTGGTGTATGTTTATGATTGTAAAGGTAGGAGTCACTGACCAATCCTTCCTCTCGTTTCGTTATTCCAATTGGCTTTTTTATTTGTAAACGTTTCAGTTTTACATTCTTAACCTTAAAGAGTGGATTTGATCAATTTGTCGTTGGGCATTTGAAACGAAATGTAATGAGTTCAAGTTTCATTGTGAACATCAACATTGGGATTCAAGTGGATCCAACCAATTAATCTCAAATAGACCGAAATGCACATCTAGGGTTTGACTGCTACCGAATTTACCAAGAGTTTTACCTTCCGCTCATATTAAAATAATCCGAAAAAAATATTTGAAAAAACACTTTCCGAAAAATTTAAATGTCTTTATCGTTAGTTATCCACCTTTTTTAATAAGTTTAACAACGGAAATTTAGGATTGGATTAATATACACGAAATAATGTTGTATAGTAAAGAGGAAGAATGTATTTGTAAAATGTCAGCAAAAGAATTTGAAGTCCAACGTTTTGCCTGGCAATCTGGTTCAAACTTATCTGTGTAGTATAAAATTCAGTGTTCATTCTCTCAATAATATTTTTTATATATTACACATTATTTTATTAAAAGCTAATCACACCATAAACCGTTCTCTTTCAATAAACAAACAAACAAAGCATCAGACATATGACATGATTATTGAAACAAGTTCAATCTCACTGAATTTCATGTTCATTTAAATTTAATTAGTATTTTTCGTTTTTGTATCCGATAAATCACTCCATAGTCATATTGTCTGGGGACACTTTTGTCTTACGATATTTTAATCTAGTAATAATTTAGAGAATTTAATTCATTCAGCAGAATCTAGTGTACATCCATGCTCACAACGGGGATTGAACCCAGAACCTTCAGGTTTTGTGGTGAGTCCTTAACTTTTAAACTACTGAGTCGGTATCCACTGGTTTACATTTCCCACTTCAACTCATTCAGGATATTTCACAATCGTCTTACGCTATCATTGGTGGAGCACTGTCTTACACCCAATATGTTTGAACTTGATTGGTATAATGGTTTCTGTTTTTCAATAGTAAAATAACTAAAAATAATTAGTGATGTTTTAAGTATAATATTCCACAATTTCCACAAACCTTCACTAACAATAAAGCTGACTAAGTTGATTGAATTAGTTACACTTAATACTTGACTTAACTGACAGGTATTTATTAATTTTCTTTAGTTTTCCTATTATAATAAGCTCATTGTTTCGCAAAAACAGTATCTATTTTTCTCTTTTAAAAGGATGTAGTCTTTACCTCATGATTTAAATTAGGGGTATTTCCAACATTTAAGTGAGATAAACTTATTTTCTAAACATATTATCAAATATGTGACTTTGATTCCAGTCTCAAAGAAATTTTTGTTTTGAGATCTAAGTGTTCAAATGCCAACATATCGATTGTGAAGAAAGCGTAATCGAATAATGACACTATCGAGCATATAGCACATGGATTAAAAATGTAGTCTTTCTGAGACTTAGTATTGGGACGTTTCGTCAATACAGTAGAGTATCTTATGTCTTTTCTGATTATCATATACTGGACGTTACTACTATTGTTTGTTTGGTCTACATTAATAAGAATGTGAGCAAAAGAGGAAATGGAAAAGGGTTCTGTTAAAAAGAAAGAACATTAATAACGGCAACTATGAAAATGACGTATAATAATAAAGATGAGCATTGAAAGGGGGAATAACATTCTTAATTATGTGAATTACGTTCAATAGCCCTTTTTTGTGGAATTTCATCCTAAAACGAACAATGAGGTTCTAGGATGGCATTGATGCTTTAACCAACTTATTGGTGTCACCTATCTAAGTATACGGAAATTTATTGATCCCCTAAAAAAATTAACAACGTCTAAATTGATTGAAAACTAAACAGTCTATTGCAGAAATCAAGCAACAGTACTTAAAAAGAAAGCACAAGAAGGTAGCTGTACGTATTAAACTGCTCGTAGAAAATAACGAAAAGAGGTCTGTACTAGACTATCTACGTGGAATAGCACATTACATTTTAATTTTAAAAGAAAGGAATGTTTTTAGCACTGAAAACTTATTCAAAGTGAAAATCATCGGACATTGCTCAAGCATTTTTGAAACATCCCTCAGAATAGACTTTACCCTAGCTGTTCAAATGGGAAGTACGAGATAACATAAATAAGGTAGTAAAAACAATAATTTGTCACCGAATTCGAAGAATTACAGTATTTTTGAAATTAGATTATTCATTAAACGTTTCAAAAACCACTTTTTTATTTGTCAAGGGGCACAAAAACAGTAAGCGAATCGAACATATTTCACACCATTAAAACGTTTATTCCGCCTTACAGTTCTTACCTTTAATAATAAGCATTTTTCTTTATGGTCGCCCTCATTTTAATCCATTAGTATCTCCATTAGTTCAAAAGTTGAGTTATATATATTGACTAGCTTATCCAATCATGTTAGAGCCGATGTTGAAAACCAGGTCGGTTTTATCAAATCATTTTTTCTCCAATTGGGTGGTTGAAAGAAGTTACCAAGGAACTCTGGTCCTATGTAACATAGTGGTTCCCAGTTGCCAGTAACGCACACCTAATTTTTTACGGAAATGATTCTTTTTGTGGTATCTGAACCTACGTTAGCCATTTTCACGAACTGAAACCAGCTAAGGCTCAAATAACTAAGTATTACAGTCTGAGACTATGAACCTGTGACGCGAGTTTGAATGTCATGAGGAGCGTCATTACCCTTAATATTGTAGGTATGCTTTGATAAAAAGTGCCATGTAGTAAGAAACGTTAGTCTGGCTGTCTTAGAAACTATATCAAACCTTCTAACACGCAAACATAATTTCAGTGAACGCTATTTATGGTTGGAATTCCGCTTCAAAACCTGAAATAGCGATCTAGGCATAATTAGCAAAGTCGCGAATTTAGAATAAGTATTTAATGAGCAGATGAATAGAGAGAAATATATATTTAGATAAGTTTTTTATTATCACTACATTCACTTGTATACGACTTACAATAATAATAAGATAATGATGAGTAATAGTTTTACGTAATAATGCTGTAGTTTTACATATCAAACAAAAATGATGACGAATTATTAACCAAGTGATTAATATAACGCACTAATTATAACAAGCAAAGCAATTCTGTGTAAAGAGTGAAAACATCTAATTAGTTGGCTCATAGATGATATGGTATTTAATGAAAAAATAGTCAAGATTAACAGTCAATTTCATAATTATCAAGTAGGAGTAAACAGACAGATGTCAAATTTGTGCAAGAACACGAAAGTGAGAGAGATTCTTAAAGTTTTATAAAGTGCGGTGAATCAAAGTTTCATCATGACCCACATTTTTATCCTCTATATTGATAGCCAAAGTATGGAAAAATTGTGTACAGATTTTTTTCGAATACCACATTCATGTGAAGGTTAATTTTGACAGCTTTAGCAGTGTGCAAAGGGCGAACTCATAAACTTTGCAGAAAATTTAGTGGAATACGATAAAAAGCTTTATCCAGGTTGACTTGGTGTTCTTTGTCACATAAGTGATGGCGTTAGAGGATATAATAAGGGACCTGCTCAATTGTGCACTACATAACCGGCTCCATATGGGCAGTTAAATTGATTAACACAAATGGATGTGGTAAATTCAACTGGTCTGTTTTTGTTGGTGATTTTTATTATAGGGCAATTGCAAGAAACGGTACTCCATTTAGATGCAGTGAGTGTGATGTTAAGAGATTTTCCTAAGTTATGTGTTGGTGTTTCACAGACAGTCATTTTCGGACTGTAACTTCACAAAACGCAGGCGCATAACAATTACTATCAAAGGCCTTATTTTCCTCTCGTTCACGTGTTTGTTAATGAATTTCGAAAGACAGATATTCTTATAAAGTAAGTTACTGGTGCTACTTAGTTCACATTGGATTGTGTCGGAGCAAACTGCTTTGAAACACTGATTAGGGATTCTTACTAAACTCTATGTAAGTGATGAAGCTACTAACTCTGATAACCATAATGTTAACACATTGGGTAATAATTGACAAACTATGGTTAAAGACTTAATACGGTGTATGATTGAAATTTAAAAACAATTGTATTTTGTTCGCCATATTAGCTGAACAAACCAGAGGTACTTTAATACGTAATTTGTATATTTACCTGCTAACCCATACGAACTTTTCACCAGAAGCTAAGCAGTTAGGATATTGAGGGTTGAAAAGCGAATCTTACCGATTATATCACTGACTTGAATGTGACAGGTCCTACTAGTGGGGGAAAGTTCTTTTCGAAACATTTTAGTGGTCAGTTTGCAATATTCTCCGGATTACGAGCGAATTAAGAACACCATTGTGCAACTGACAGCATAAGTGAACAGACGTAACCAATCAACTATCAGTAACGTCTACAATTAAATATACACCGTAATCTGGATTATTGTTTCAAACCTTAAACCTTGGGAGATAGTACACTTAAACCATATAATTTTTGAGACCTGCTTTTAATTAATTGGATAATCCTACCAATTACTGAACAATATGATTCATAACCTTTGACAAGGTCTTAAAAATGGGAATCATAAACCGGTTAAACTTAACTGGTGATTGGAGAAAAATGACACGGGTAAACGCTATCTTAAATGGTTCAAATGGTTCAAATGGTTGTGGACGGAATAGAAGAAGCTTTCGCTTAACAGGCTTCCGTGTCTAGTAGCAGGGGATCACCAAATCCTCCAGGCAGAAAACTAGGTATGTTAACAATAAAAAAGGAAAAGAAATTGGTAAGTCATAATGTGATGCTGTCCTTGGTCCTTAAGAATAGGTCAAGTTGCCTCTTGAAGGACTCCTGAGAAGTCGCTTGGACTAGCTCGGCCGGCAGCGAATTCCAGACGCCTATATTCTAGTGGGTAAAGGTCTAGTGAACGGAGGCGTTCTTCGTAAGGCTTAGATTTGAGTCCTCGAACTGATTTCGTGGCTCGCCGTTGGATACGCTCCAAAGTGACCTTGTCCTTTTGGAGTGAGGGGGGAGTACTATGTTTCCGTACGTGCGAATTTCCCAAAGGTACAATCGTTGCCCGCTTTTCTTATTTACATTGTGTAAATGACTTACCTACTGCAGCAAAGTCATTTATTCTGTTCGTTACAGCTGACATTAAAACTTGGAGGTCCATACACAGTATGTCAGATTGAAAATATTACATGATGGATGAAACTCAATGAGTGAATGGATTTACAGGCGATCATTTGAACTCAGTTCCATCGATAGTGAAGCGATGAAAAAAATAACTACGATGACTCATGTCAGAAGTGAAATTGTATTGTCTTAAGTAATGGACTATGTAGGTCTAGGAGTCATAACAACCAGAAACCTCAGAACTTCGAGTAACTGCTTCAGGATCTCACGGGCTATTTATAAATGTTTCCGTTACTTGGAAGAAGAAACTTTTGAAGTATTATACCCGACTTCCATGAGACCGCATTTCGAGTGTTAGATTCAAGCACTGATTAAGAGGTGGATATAATGGAACGACTGAAATTCCGAACGATCTCGCTTGATAATACAAACTGAGACGACTCAACCTATTTCCGTTATTTCGGGTTACGGGGTGATTTGAAACTGACTTACCGTATACTGAACTACAGTCTTCGTGGCAATGTTTTATTTCTTCATCCCGTCTAGGAATAATAATGTGAGAGGACGTTAAAAGCAAGTTCAAACCCTTGATCAAATTGCTTGACTGTGGAAATCCGTTTCTCGAGACGGACAGTGAAGTTTTGGAATTCCCTAACCCGTAATATAAGTAGTATCAGTTGATACATCCAAAGTGATTTTGGATCTTCACAATACTACATATTGGGAGGATCAACATAGATCTGTTGACTTCGTATCTTTACTAATAAAGACTGGTTATACGAAAATCGAAGTCAAGTCCGACTGTTTGACGTCAGAAATGATAAATGCGTAATACCTTGTGTAATCACCTAGGCACCACGGAACTAAAGCAAATGTTGGGCCTGCATTCGATAGGTTGACAAGAGAGTGCCGTTACTATCTCTAGTGATAAGGATATTAGTAACTCACTGATTCACTCGCGATAATTTTTGCAAGAACTTCTTGCGATGCATTTTATCTCTGGTCCTTTACGGAAGACTACTTAAAACTAGTTTTTAAATCAGACATGTTAGCGACCTGTTAAGGCTGAGGGGATCGTTGCTGATTAATGTTCCACTTTCGTTATTTTTATTATGCTCAGATTTTAAATTTGAGACACCCAGTTTTGAAGTGAGGCTCACTTATTAGTTTGAGTACCTCAACGGCAGGCTTCCTTTAAATACAGTCTCAAAGTGTGTTTGATCTACTTGATCTATCAGACCTTACATAAAAATCGCATCATTATCTATTTTGACCGGTACTGTCGTGTCTGTGAGCGCTTGCACACATCTGGGCAAGGTATGGAATATTATGTTCAGTATGAAATGCAAGATGTTACATAGAATGACGATGCCTATGGCGAGTCATGTCATACTGATTAAGTGTCCTGCATTCATCATTTTTGACCTCCTCTTAGTGTCAACTGTGAGATGCGAATCTTCTTAGTTATCGTATGATCCGCATGAAGAATCGTATGGTTGCGAAACAGTACTAAGGCAGACGTTCATTGCTCTGATATTATTTCGGTAGGAATGCTTTGGTAGCGCTGAAGTGTGCTGAAAATGCGTATTTGGCTTGGATAGTCAACAATTAGATCCTAAATGAATGAAAAACACGGTTCTTTCCGACTACCTTGTCAGTAGTTTTGACACGTATCTTTCAAAGTTGTTGTTTAATGTCCAGTCTTCACAACCATGCTAATCACTGCGATTTGTGGTGGTGTGAAGATGTATCAACGAGTGTTACAAAAATTAGGCCCATCTGATGCTCAATTTGTTTGGAATCGTCAAGTCAAGCCTAATTCGTGATACCATCAAACTCACAGCTTTAAAGATGTTTTCACTGACAAAATGTCTTTCGACGAAGAATTGAGAGGAAAAGAATTGAAAAAGATTAAACACTGTATGCACCAACCAGGTGGGCTTACTAAAGATTCCAAAAACAAGTTGCCATATATTTTTCCGTTTGCTTGAATAGCGACTCTCAGAATATCCTTCAGGTTGTAAACTTCACCGATGTGGCTTCTGATTCTTTGAATATCTCACTTCTGCAAATCATCAGGGGTCCTATTCACTTGTATTTTCTTTGACATCACTGGCCTTTGACCTCGACTTCCATAGTGTCATCTCTATGTTTAATATTTTCGAACTGATTTCCTTTTTCCCATCATTATTTTGTTGTTCCGTGTTGTTACTTTTACCTAATTGGTTTGGTGTTTGGTTTGCTTTAAAATGTAACGACGATCCTAAACTGGTGAACAATGGTATTGTGTTATTTTTCTCCGTTCGGGGCTTTATAGTATTAGACCATCAGGCATAAAGCATCAGTCTTCTAAGTCCTCGCTGCGTATTAGTTGCTTAAGGCCGTCTACAATTATCAGTTGGTTGCAGAAAATAACACACTTCACCGCTGATCTAGAAATGACTTATCTCTATGTCTGACACAGAAAAGTGTTTCTGATCCTGAAACATCATATTGTTTCTCCATCTTAGAAATAAAAACTCAGTGAACACAGCAGTTGAAATTCGCAACAAACTTGTTATTAGAATTTGTGGCATTCACTTCCCTGACTGACAAATTCCGTTTCAGTTCCATGTTGGAAAGGATAAGAGGCTGTTATCCCGTGTTAATCCTGGCGACGTTGGCGTCTCAATCAATTCAAATTTCGCTGAAATGTACCGAAAGTTGGAGCGTTAGTTACGTGTTGTGGTTCATTTTTTCGATGATTCGGTAGCAATTTTGACGCTCATCTGGCAAGTGATTTGTCCTGGGTTTTTAATTGTTCGTGTCCTCGTAATCTTCTGTTTTTTGGAAGACGAAAAAATGAGGGGGTATCAGATGCGAATTTATCATAAGTATTGTAAAGCCTGTGGTCAAGTCACTCATGGTTCTCCGATAATACCATAGAGATAGATTTATTCTGACCAGTTTATCATCATATGGGAGCTTTACGATTCCAGGATTGAGCTTATTTTGGTTTCTTTCAATCTTTTCCAATAGCTTACCTTCTCCTTTTGGAAATAGGCTAGCTGCTTTATTCTTTACTGAAGTTTAGATGGAATGTATATTGTGCGCAAAGTCAAAGAGGTTTCAGTATCAACATGTCTGCAGGCTTTAAATGATGATCGCAGGTGTCTAGTACCGTTGGAGGCTCTCGCATGGCTGAGTGATGTAGTTTTTAGGTCTTGTGTGACGATGAATTTTAAGTGTGGGGCCCTTAATTTTGTCGTCATTTAGATCAGATGATGTTCGTTGAAGGGCTCTCCACTTTAGTGGCCCAAGATCTGACTCCAAGTAGATTATTTATCCTCGTATATAATCATCGACTCAAATCGATTTAGTCAGTAACGGATTTAGATAAGTCGAATAACGAGAATGGACTTGTGAATACATATATTTTGTATATGAAGCGAATGAGATAGAGCGAAGCAAAATGTCGTGCAGTGGAGATGGTGGGTAAGCCAACTCCCATTATCCAAGCGCTAATCAATAGTTATAATTACACAAAAATAAGTTACAGATATGTGATGAGTAATGGGATAAGAAATATGCACACATACGCTCATATAAAAACAGCTAAGATTGATAAGCTGATAATTAACAAAGTCAAAATGTGACTCAAGTAGAATGAACAGATTGGGCTGTCCAAAAGCTAGAATAAGGTATATGGGCTTAACATAATAAGTGACACTACGTTAGTCAATTTATGTCTAGATAACAGATAGCCCAACGTTACCTGCTGTTCATGTTTATACCCTGGTGACTAATGTTCGTTATAATGGGTTTTAGAGGCGTTTATCGTCAACTGCCGAATTCTAAATATCTCAGATAATTTCTTCAGGTCATTTTAAAGCTTTTAAAAATCACTATGTTTTTATTTCTCATTACATCTTGATATCATCAGAATATAATGAAATGAACGATAACGGCGAACGTGGATGGTTATTTGCACACAGGAAGAACGACATTAGCCCTCCCAAACCGTACCCCGAGGTATTCCGTTAAACACAGTTTTTCAGGTAGATAACTTTGAATTCAATCTTACCATTGGTTGACCATCAGCTAGGAAGTCGTTTATCAACATAAATAAGTTGCCATCAGTCCCGATATCATATGACTTAGATAATAATCAGTTGTCACAAGCCTTAATAGACTACATATATAAGTAACTTCTGATGTCTATAGGTTCATGAACCTTTATGGGCCGCTAATAAGTTTGCGAGACATGAGAAACGTGTTATAAAGCTGTGCTGATTTTAAGAAAGGATTCGGTTTTTATACGGATAACTAAAAAACT